GGGAGGGGGGGGGGGCGGATGGCTGGAGTGTGATGGTGCCGTGGGTTCTGTCTGCCGTTGTGCTGTGCAGGACGTCGGCCCAGGCGACGGCGCAGCACGTTGTCGATATGGCATACAAGCGGCGCGCCAAAGGAAGTTAGTGAGCAATCCACACACGCCACGCCCACACACAGCCCAACAGTGGACCAACCCACCTTTCTCTCGTTGACTGATGGCATGATACGGATGCAGACGTGGCCGTGGACAACACTAGCATGATCCTGGTGGTGTTGACGGAGCCGGGGCTGTGGGGTCAGGCCCGCCCCAGCAACTACAAGCGCCACACCCGCATCCAGTTCACGGACGAGATCGAGGACCTGGACCAGACTCAGAGCCAGCCCGCCTCGCCCATCCCTACCATCGCCAGCGAGGACCGACACAACCAACACACACACCACCACGACCGCCACCTGCACCCGCGGAGCCCCCTCAACTCGTGGATGTCGGGCTCGTCCACCCAGTGCGGCATCACCGACCGCAGCGTCAGCGACACTCTCACCGCGAACACCGACACGGCCAGCCTCACCACGCAAACACCTGAGACCGACCGGCTGCTGCCCCGGATGCCTGTGGGCGACCGCCAGTCGCACACGCCGCCGAAGTTGCTGCCTACGAGTGCCCACACGAGCCCGGGTGGCAGTCCTGTGGCCGATGTGCGTCGGCAGGGTGGTGGTGGGGTGCGTGGGGGTGCGTATCAGTCGACAAGCACGTCGGCTGCCAACAGTTTGGAGCAGGACGGGTCGGGCAGCGACGGCTCCCCAGTGGCGACGCACAACATCACCCGGATGGGCGAGGGCAGCAACTTCCCTCTCCTCTCCAGACCGCTCTCGCACGTACGCATCCCATGCCCGTCCCGTCTCCATACATACCAACCACCACACAGACAGAAACACGTCACATTCATGGCGACCACACACACACGGATCTCCCGTTGTGGCTGGGTGTGGTGTGTGCAGGTGGACACAGTGTTGGACTTGCGGCGTGGCAATGCCGACCTCCCCGAGGGTTCGAGTGACCTGTCGAGTCCCCTTCTCACCGACTCCACGGTCGGCCGGGGCGACAGCATGGGCATCGGCATGGGCATGGGCATGGGTGAGGGCGCGGCCTACGGCGACATCGAGCAGGGCGTTGGCGTGGCTGTGGGAGGTGGTGACGGGGGTACCAAGGGTGGGGTAGTATCGGACGGACCGGGCGAGCCAGTGCCCTCAGTGACGACGCATCGAAGATGCCGCACTTGGGTAAGTGGGTGGGTGGGTGGGTGGGTGGGCGGGTCAGAGTGATGGACACGACACATGCATTCCATTCACACAACACTGCCGCGCGCCGTGTGATGTGATGTGTTGTTCAGGGCGCTTGGCTCAAGGATGTGGGCGGTTGGTTCGTGGCAGCCATGCGTTGCGGCTACCGGGCGGTTCGAAACCTCTTCAGCCGCCTGTTTGCCCGCCGACATGCCGACCAGCGCCCGGCCGACGAGCCGGGTTCCGCAGCAGTGTAAGGCACGCGTCTGTCCGTCCGTCTGTCTGTATGTCCGTATGTCCGTATGTCTGTACGCATTGCTGGCTGGCTGAGTGTTGGTGACATTCTTTTCGACTTTCTGAAGTGAAAATACATAAACTCATAGCGCAACGGCAGGCAGAGTCTGTCGGTCTCTCATGAAATGAACTGCGTCAATCGACCAACCCTCAATTATGCGACAAACATGCCAGCACCATCCTCAGCGCCCGCCTGGCGCATCTTCCAGCGGCGCCGCCCACCACAACCCGACCGATGAATGGATGCATTTCTTCAAGCGCGAATGAGACGCCCCATCTTTTCCATGAGTCCGCCTCCTTCCTCCCCTACCCTGTCTCCCGCAAGCTTGGCTTCGCGCGGCGTCCGCGGTTAAGACCTTCCCCTCGGTGAATGAGCGTCGTGCAACAGCAGACCGCACAGTGCACGGGGGAGGTGCAGAAGCAGCATCCCTTCTGTTACATTTTTGTCGGACACCGCACCGTCTACCTGCTCAGCCTCAAGGACATCCTGTGTCTGAGAGCCACCTGTAAATGGCTCAGAGGTCTCTTCGGAGCGGCCCAGCTGAGAGATAGACTCCACCACTCTGTCGGCTAACAGGCGGGGCTGCGGCGGGTGGTCAATGGGCAGCAAGTGCAGCTGGTGCGGTTCGACGATGACCAGTTCGGTGTGTGTGATCTGCTGGCGGCTGTGTGTATTATGGAGGAGGGAAACTGGGTGGAGATCGGCGAGGTGATTGAGCTGGGGGGGCAGTACGGCTACTGTGAGCTGCCCGTCATCCTCACAGCAGACGACATCAACACACACGCCAACAAGACGGTAAGGCACACACACAGAGGGGCGGGAGAGAACAGAGAGGCCTCATTGATTGGTATCTCTCTGTCTGTGTGTGGTGTGGTGTAGGCGTATGGATCGCTTCCCCGTGTGTTGACGCAGCTCATGGTGGTCGGCCGCCACGTGGCCTTCGGTGACGGCAAGCGCCTGCAGATCTTCCGCCATGCCAACGGTGAGGTGCGGGCCATCGAGGACGAGCCCGGCTTCCGACTGACGATCGACCCGCCCCTCGCCCACGGCGATTATCTGTATCAGCAGCACCGACTACAGCATGACACACCGGTGCAAAGCAGCATCGACTTCTACGACGAGGTGCCATGGTCACCGACCATCGATGCGTCGCTGTCGTCGTTTGCCAAGCGCATGATCATCGACCACTTCAAGCAGACTCACCCAAGGACTCACCGGGGTTATTGGGGCTATGAACAACACACAGAACTCGACAAGTAACCCACCGATGGCACTGGTGGCGGGAGGGGTGCGTGTTTGATTGTGTGTGTCTGTGTGTGGTTGGTTCAGGCGTGTTGGTGGCAGCCGTCTGGACACCCTCCTGACCCAGTCGCCCCACACACCGGTGGCCGGGTGCTCGACGACATACAGCTCCCGAGGTTATATGCGATACTTGGTGCTGACCAACGGCAGCCACCCCTTCGTCGCATGGATTATCCTTGAGGATGAGTTGATTGACGACAATGGTCAGGCCGACAGACAGACAGCTGTGGTGTTCAAATGTCGTATATTGTTCTCTCTCGTCTGTCTGCAGTGTGGGTGACTGTGAAAGCGACCGAGGCGCCTGCGTGTGGTACGGCTGCCTTCAAGATTCGCTTCCCACTGACGAGTGCCCTGGCTCGTGTGATGCTGGGAGCTGGAGTGGCGCCTCACGTGTTCGACGATCCAGCCGACTATCCACACACAGACTACGACCACTTCTGAGTGTCTGTCTGCCTGTGTGTATGTATGTCTGTAATGCATTGCGTACATGTGTACAGACACTCACTGCAGCTGTGATTGAATGCTCTCTCCGGATCGAAGAAGCGTCCATTGCACATCACTTCACTCAACTGCTCGTGTGCAGGCGATGATGGCACACACACGCACACACACTGCAGACACACGCCTTTCCCCCCTCCCTCTCTCCGCGTGGACCCCTGTGGACATGAGCCTCTGTGTGAGTGTGCCTGTCTGTCTGTCTGTCAGCCACGCACTGCTGCACAAGCGCATTCACCAATTTCGCAAGCCCCACGCCTCCTTAGGGTTAGTTAAATGAGGCCATCAGCCGCCGCCCCGCCCCCCTGCAATGCAATGGGAAAAAGCCCTCAAGCCACGATCGGGAAATCCTGCGAGCTTAGACGTGCGAAGAGGGGAGACACACACAAACCGCACAGATCAGCAGCACAGAGGCGTACAGGAAGGCCACATGCAGCCAGGAGAGCTCTCTTCGCTCAAATCTCCTAAAACCTTCAGGAGCAGGGTTTCGGTGCAGGGTTTTTTTCATTGGCGCGATCCTGACCGGCCAGCCTTGGCTGCACCTTGGCTTTCTGTGTGCATTCCATTCCGCCGTCGGCCGTCCCCCCCGCCTGATCTCCCTCCCTCCCTCCCTCCCTCCCTGTGTTGTCAGCGCAATGAAGTCGGTGTGCGTGGCGTTCGCTCTCTCCCTTTTTGTGGGATCTCTTGCGCAGGACATCACAGTGGATGAGGCACTGCGGATCTGCGGTGCCGCGTCAGAAGGCTTCGTCACCCCGCCCACCAGAACGGCCAGCACGGCGCCACACTCAGCCGGTCTGCGGGGGCGGCTGCGCATGGGCCTTGATCAGTACAAGGATGAGCTTGCCCAGACGGCAAACACCATTGCGGGTCCGGGCAAGGGCATCCTGGCTGTGGACGAGTCCACCAAGACCATCGGCAAGCGGCTGGCGAGCATCGGTGTCGAGAACACTGAAGAGGCGCGGCAGGCCTACCGCGGGCTGCTCTTCACCACTCCGGGGCTGGGCGAGTACATCTCGGGCGCCATTCTTTACGAGGAGACTCTCTACCAGAACCACGCTGACGGCACACCATTTGTCGACTGCCTCAGAAACATCGGGGTCATCCCGGGCATCAAGGTGAGTGAGGTGCGATGAATGAATGCGATGATCTATCTGGGGATCCCGGGGTGGGTACGTGACCTGGCACACATGTATGTCATGTGTGTGGTGTGTGTGTGTCTAGGTGGACACAGGTCTGACGCCCCTCCCCGGTGCGCATCCCATTGAGACCTGGTGCACTGGGCTCGACGGCCTCTACGAGAGAGCTTGCAAATACTACACTCAGGGTACGCACCGAACACATGACATGCACTGATTGGCAATGGAACGGAGAGCCATGAGGAAAATGTGTGTGTTGGTGTTGGTGTTATCAATCAATCGACTGGCCAGGTGCTCGGTTCGCCAAGTGGCGTGCGGTTCTGCAGATCACCCCCGATGGCTGCCCCACCCCCCTGGCCATCAAGGAGAACGCATGGGGCCTTGCACGATACGCGCGCGCCGTCCAGGCAAGGAGGGAGGGAGGGCAATATCTCATTTATTTCATCACATTTCTTTCATCGCATCACGAAAATATCGTTTGTTCTTCCGTGTGCGTTTGTGCGCCTGTGTTTGTGTGTGTGTGTGTGTGTGTGCAGGAGGCGGGTCTTGTGCCGATTGTGGAGCCCGAGATTCTGATGGACGGCGACCACACCATCGAGAAGACTGCCGAGGTGCAGGAGAAGATCCTCGCCGAGGTCTACAAGGCCTTGTCCGACAACAACGTCTTCCTCGAGGGCACCCTCCTCAAGCCGTCGATGACCGTCAGCGGCGCAGACTGCCCAGACACCATCACACCCGACATGGTCGCTACCGACACACACAACACACGACACACACGAACACCACACACAGATGCAACACGTGGACGGCTTTCTTGTCTCTCTGTGTTGTGTGTGTTCAGATTGCCGAGTACACTCTGCGGACGCTTGAGCGCACGGTGCCCTCTGCGGTCCCGGGCATCATGTTCCTCTCCGGCGGCATGAGCGAGGAGGAGGCGTCGATCAACCTCAACGTCATGAACCAAAAGCCGCGCAAGGGTCCTTGGTCGGTGGCCTTCAGCTACGGCAGGGCGCTGCAGCAGTCGTGCCTCAAGGCCTGGCAGGGCAAGCCGGAGCAGCTCGAGGCCGCACAGAAGGCACTCCTCGCACGAGCACAGGTGAGTGAGTCGATGCTCGATCAGCAGCCAGCCTGGAGACTGGAAGCTTGGTTGGTTGTGTGTGTGGTGGTGGTGCAGGCGAACAGCGAGGCCCAGCAGGGCAAGTACGTGCCGGGCAGCCAGCCGTCAGCAGACGAGTCCCTCTTTGTCAAGGGATACAAGTACTAGACGGACGTGCGGACATCACACCTCGCTGCTCAGGGTCGGCCGACCCTCCGTGTGTGCGTGATGGGTGTTTTCTCTTTTGCTCGCGTGTGGCGTACTTACTGACTCAATGACTCAATGATTTGTCTGCTTGACTGCCTGCCTGCCTGTCTGCCTGAGTACTCGTGTAATGACTGCGAGACCCTCCTGACATCGCACAACGCACAACGCCCCGCACACCGGTGCCTGCCTGCCTGCCTGCCTCCCCACACACAGCAACACAGGGCAGGTTCATTCAGTTTTTTCCATCCTGTTTGCCTGGCTGCCGTCGTCTCGTAAAGGTGCTCTCCTACTGGACGGACGGACGGACGGATGTCTGGGCACACCGATGTGTAAGACCCAGATTCCCTTCCCTTCTCCCTCCCTCCCTGGCGCTCTGCCTGCCTCCCTCGCTGTTTTCCTTTCCCTCTCCCTCCCCGTGTGTGTCTTCTGGCTGGCCGTCGTGTGCTCTGCTCGACTGAGTGAGTGTGTGTGTGAACGTTTAGCCTGAATGGATGGATGGATGGATGGACGCCTTTCAATCAACCTTGTCTGTGCGTTGCTTGAGGGGGAGGGAGGGGCAAGGCAAGGCGACCCAAAGGCAGACAACGAACCGACCAACGACACTGATCGATCGATCGATCGGCCGATCGATAGATACCTGCATACACACCATACCCAGTTTTTAGGTCTAAAGGCTGCCCAACAACAACAAGACAGACAAGACAGAAGACCAAGCGTTTGTGTCGGGTGGGGCGGGGAGGGCAGGGCAGGGGCTCGGCTGGCTCTCAGATACCTGAGTGTGTGCTTGGCTGAGTGGTCGGTGGTGTCTGTCTGGTGGTGTGACTTCCTTCTTCCTTCCTTGATTGCGTAGCGTTGTGTGGCGTGCCCTCCGTGCCGTGGATGGATGGATGGATGTCTGGTGCGTGCACTGTGCGATTTTGTCTCGGTGGACCGGATGGACAGACAGGTTGGTTGGTGACATGTCTGTGTCTGTCATGACGAATACCTTCATGTTCAACCAAGATTGCCTGCTGGCTCGGCTCCTCACATTGCATGTCGCACTGCAGGCATCCAGCGAATGAATGAATGATCGATTCATCCGTTCACTCAGTCAGTCACACGCACATGCGCAACCAGTCCGGTCCGCCAACCACCCGACTATACAGACGCACACAGGCCATTAGCTACGCGCACACATGAATGAAGGAACGGTGCTCATTTCTTCCGTCGTTTTCCCCCTCCCCCTCCCCCATTGTCCCTCTTGCCCCCATCGTCACACCGCGGTCGCTTGGTGCCGGCCACCGCTGCCTGGCCCCCTGCAGCCGTTGCGGTGTTCTCCGATGTGTCTGGGGTGGTTGTGGGGTCGTTTGTGACGTCCTCGATCTCGATGTCGGAGTGGACGCACGGGGAGCTGCGGACCACAACCAACTCCTGCGAACACCACCCCACAGACAGACAGAGAGGTAGATGAACGAACACATTGCTAGGGTGCGGTGCGGTCTCACTTCTTCCCTCCCTCACTCCTTCCCTCCCTCCGTCCCTCCCTCCCTCACGCGCACCAGAGTGAAGGTTGGCATGATAAATGTGTTGTTGGTATCGAATGTGATGAGTGTGGCCTCGAGCTCGTCCACATTGGTGCCCCTCACACCCACACGGAGCTGAAGTGGCTCCTGCTGCTCCTGCTGCTGCTGCTGGTGGTGCGTGGCGCTGGACGAGGAGCTGCTCGAGGCTGCGGACACCACACAGACAGAGACACAGACAGAGAGGGGGCGGGGTGGGGTATATATGTGCCTGTGGTGCTGTCTGTGTTGTGTAATCATGTGCGTGGGAATGGATGGGTTGGTGTCCTGTCCTCGTGTGGGCGTACGTACATGTGTTGTGTCTGTTCCTGAGTCCGTAGGGCAGGTCGAATGCGCTCGTGGTGACGCGGCGGCAGTCCGTGATGTCCAGCTGCACCAGGGAAAGCAGATGCGACACCAACGCACGAACGCCGCTGTTCTCAACTTGACTGACCATACACACACCCCAGACACACACACACGTGTCCCGTGTACTCAGCAGGCATCGTCACATCCATCCATCCATCAGCCCAGCTGTCCACCCACTCTTCCTTCCAGCCACCACTTACGTGCACTGCGATAGTTTGAGTCTCTGCAGGTCAGGGCATCGTGTGGGCAGCCGCGCCACCAGCTGGTTGGTGACGCCCTTGATGCGCGAGAGGTCGAGCGTCCGCAGCTGGTCCATGTGCTGCACTATCGCCTCCAATATGGCGCCGTCCAGCTGAGAACAGTCTGGTGGACAGACACAGACACACAGCGGACGGCGGGCGTTGATGTATGTATGTGTGTATGGCGGCGTCATGTCATGGACGGGTGGGGTGGGGTGGGTGCCTACCGGCGAGGCAGAGTGATTGCAGGTTGGTACATGCCGCCAGAGCTTTCGCGCCGCCGCTGCTCACGCCGGCCCCGCGCAAGTCCAACTCAATCTGACACACACCACACACCATAATACACTTAGAGGGAGGAAAGAAGCCGTCGTCACGTTCCTCATCCCCCCCCTTCCCCCACCACCACCGCCTACCAGGCTACTGCTCATGTGTTCCAACGCACTCAAGTTGGTCAGGCCTCCGCACCGCTGCAGGCTCAGCCGTCGCAGCCCACTGCCGCCCCCCTCCCCCATCTGCGTCTGCGACCCTGTGCCCCGCTGCAGGGGCTGCTGTGCGCGTGCCAGGTGGTTGAGCACTGCGTCCGTCATCTTGCCGTCCACTGCCTGGCGGGTGGAGCCGAGGGCGACGTTCCGCAGCGAGGGCAGGAGCCGGAGGCGTCGCAGGCCGCCGGGCGTCACCCTCGGGCAGTCCATCAGGTCGAGACCACGCAGAACGCTATTGCTCCCCACTGGCATGCTGCATGCACGACATCACACCAACCAATGTGTTTGGGAGGGGGGGAGGGGGGATGGCGGTGGTGCTGTAGTGTGATTGCTGACTGGCTGAGGACTTCCTCGACGGCTTTGTCTGTGATGCTGGAGCAGCCGCGGAGGACCAGGACATGCAGCTTGCGCAGCTCGGGTGCGTGGGTCTTGAGGCCCGTCGCCGTCAGCTCCTTGTAGTCGGTCAGGTCCAACAAACCCAGGCGCGGCGTCCTGCGACAGACACACACACATTGGAGAGAAAGAGGGCTTGGTGTGCTGTAGTGACGTGTGTGTGTGTGTTTGTTTGTTTGTGTTTCTGTGTTGTTTCTGCGTACTGTTTGACGGCCTCGAACACTCGGCAGTCAGGCACGTTTGCCCCCCGCAGTCTGCGCCACTCGAGGCGGCGGCGGTAGGCCCTGACCTCTGCGGCGAACTCCCGACACACTGAATGAACAAATTGACAAGATGAGAAAGACCACTCACTGCTAGTCTGCTTGTCCCGTCGTGTCGTGTGTGTGGCTGCCTTGCCTCTCCGACTGACTTCACACTCACCCATGATGGCCTCCCTGCTCACGTGCCTCAGGATGTTCCACAACAACTGCACACACACATACACATGTACACACGCATCCATCTATCCATCCATCCATCCATACCTCCTTTGGCACATCTGAGAACCAGGCCTTGGTGCCCGCCATGGCCCGCAGCTCCCGGTCCCGCCTCTCCATGGCCGCTACGTCACGCTCGTGCCGCGCCCGCAGATGCGCCGCCCTCCCCTCATCCATCGCTATCACACCACGCAGCTGCTGCCTCTTGCCACGGGGGCCGTACACCATCGCTGCCTCCTGCGCCTCCTCTGCCTCCTCGATATCCGCTGCCGGCTGCTGCTTTGGCTGTTGCTTTGGCTGGGGCTTTGCGGGTGCAGCAGAGGGTTTGGGGGGTCTGGGAGGCGCGGCGGGTGGTTTGGTGGGCTTGGGAGGGGCAGCAGAGGGCTTTGGAGGGGCGAGTGGGGATGGCAGGGCACGTTGGTTGCGATTGGGAGGGGGAGGAGGTGGGCCTCGGCCTGGGCCAGGGGCAGGGGCAGGGTTGCTAGAGGGAGGGGGAGCAGGGCCGCGCACATCCACTCCAGCACCCTTGAGACGCTCACTCTGAATGAATGGATGCACAGCAAGGACACCAAGCGAAGAGGTCGTGTCAGCTTTGGTCGGGTCATAACTTAAGTACTCCCTCCCTCCCTCCCTCCGTCACTCACCAGACCGACAAGAAACGAAGGCACCGCGGCCGACAGCATGACCTGAACACAGACACAGAGCGGCGTGCGTAACAAACAGCCGTCTGTGACGGACATCAACACACATTGCCTGGCGTAATGTACGCACGTACCAGGAGTCCCTTCTTGGTGACGATGGAGAGCTTGCCATCGTCCACGAATTTGGCATGCACCACCTGGATGTCCAATGGCTGCATACATATAACGAATGCACACACACACCCATCGAATGGTCTGTGCTTCTTCATTTCCCGATAGCTTACTCGCAGTCTGATATCGAAGCCGACCACGGCAATCTCCATCGAGCGGCCACCTGCAGGGATGCACACGGGTGTGCTGTGCCTCATCACGGTGACGATGCATCCGTGATGCATGAGCTTCCATACATGACATACGTACCGCCATTGATTTGAAGGCCTTTCTGAGCCTTGCTCTTGGCGGCCTTCACCGGCCTGCCCCCCTTCTCTACGCTGGTGGCCGCTCGGATGAAGTCCATGACGGCTGTGCTGTCGCTATTTCAGACGGAGATGGCCTTCAACACAAGAACCACTTGGTGGCAGGGCTGACCTCAGAGCATCAATATGGGTCGAGCAACAGCGATAGGGGTCGTGGAATTGCCCGCCATGGAAGGGCTGATGCCGCCCTCAGCCACGCCACAACAAACGTACGTGAAACAAAATTACAAGAAGTTTACAAGGCTCCAAGCCGGATGGAGAATCTTGTTCTCTTCATCGCCGCTGTCACGCTGCTGGGTGTCGTCAGCTCGGCATCTCTTCGTGATTCCGCCAAGATTCGCGGTGTCCTCAGGCAGCCCATCGCACCTTTGATCTCCACCGATCTGCACACCAGCGTCAGGGCGGACATCCAGGCCGATGTTCTAAGCGCAGTGGAGGGCGTGCCGCCATGCAGCTGCGATGAGTGTGTGGCAGCGATCCTACAGATAGCTGAAGAAGATAGCCATGGACTGCAGGTGCGTTGGCGATTCGAATGACCGCGGCAGACATGTGGCATTAAGTGATCGGTTTGATTTGTCTTCAGTGCACGGTCAAGTCGGACCTTCTCGCGCAGCAGGAGACGGTGTGCCGCCAACAGGGCCCTGCGGACAGATGGGTCATTCAGATCGTAAGCCAGCCAGCCAGCCGGGGAGCGCAGGGGTGAAATGGCATGAGTATGATGAATGAATGGATTGTGTCCTTTGCTTGGCCCACCATGCAGAGTGCCGACTTAGACTACACCCGCTTCTGCTCATATTCCTGCAAGGCATGGATGACGCGACATCATGATCAATATCCTTTGATCTGATCCACGTGTGGGTCTCCGTCCGTATGACATTGTATCTATCGTCTGTATGCAGCCTCAGGCACCTGACGACCGCAACGCAGCCGTGCCGTGTATGAGCCTCACTAGCGAGGAGGTCAGGCTGCTGCAGACACCTAGCGGCAACGGGCGCTCCAAAGGTGATGGATGCGATCGAGATGCAAACACGGGCATCGCATCCATCCATCCATCTCATTTAATTGTGGCTGACTTTGCAGTCTACGAGTTCAGTCCCATGGTCAACAGTACGTCCCTTTCCATGCTGAAGGGCGGGGAGGCAACGGGGGCAAATCAGATGGTGTCGGGCGACAAGGCGCTGCGGGACACATTCTCTGACGAGTGAGTGAACGATTCCTTCGATCCGTCGCTAGCTACACAATGTCCCCCCTCTGTTCCTTTACATCGATCAGGCATGTTCGCGTCCGTGACAAGGCAGCTGCGCCTGAGGAGGGTCAACCCTCTTGTCCAGACTGCCACTGTGAGCACTGATTACGAAAAGGCGGACACATTTAGCTGTCCTGCTTGCCACATGCTCTTATCAGGCCATTGTCCCGAGTCGCCGCCCTGCCCATATGTCTCTGTACCTCCGCCACCACGTGAGGCAACCAACACACATTACAGTTAACAAACACAGAAGAAAGGAGCTCAACTCATGGCATGGATGGCATCGTGTCCTCTGTGTCCAGCTCCACCCCCTCCATCGCCTCCATTACCACCTCTCCCGGTGGGTGTTCGAGAACATGAGAACACGAATCTTGTGTTTGGTGTCTGGATGACCACTCGCTGCAATGCAGCCTCCTGTGCAGCCTCCTGTGGCTACACCACCGCAGGTTGTTTCACCAGTTGGGTACGGCATGCCCGCAACGTTTCCAGGTAGCGTGCCAGCCATGGCGCCGGCTGTGCCACCGGCGGCACCCGGAGCTATGTCTCAACCAATGCCTCAGCAGCCTGTGCCAGGTGGGGGAGGGAAATACCTGCGCCAGTCGACATTGTGTCTCTGCTGCCATGGATGGATGGATGCAGCTGGTGGGGCCTCTGTGGTGGAGCCACCACAGGGAACGACAAACGAAACTATACCAGGTATAAAGGCTTTGCCCGCCCCAAATGTCAGTCAGTTCGAAATGTGTCCACATGTCCGTATTTCTCTCCAGGTGCCTCGGTCCAGCCTGCCCCCTCTCCCGTGACAGACACAGACACACTGTCGAACGGCACAGCACCAGCGACAGCATCCAGCGGCCAACAGCAGCGGCCACAAGCAGTCCAGGCGGCCCCCCAGCAGCAGCAATCGCCGCCCCAGCTGCCCGGGGTCATATCCCCGCCAACCGCCCAGCCGCAGCAGCCCTCAGCGAATAATCCTGTGCCTCCCACGCCGCAGCAGCAGCAGCAGACGGGCGCAGTGCAGCCAGTGCAGGCAAGCCAAGGTGCACAGCCAGATGAAAGCGGGACAGCTGGGGAGGAGAATGCCACCAATGGCACCAATCCCGTGCCACCACAGCAGCCGCAGCAAGAGCAGACGTCACACGGGGGTCTGTTCAACCCGCCGGCAGCTGCCCTGCTGCTGTTTCGCTCGCGGAGGGGCAGGAGGGAGTGACGTTTGTGTGTGGGGACAGCTGGGGTAGACGGGTATGTGCAGATGGATGCATGGCATGAGCGTCAGTCGGTGTTGTGTACGTTGTGTTATCGACTCTGTGGGTCTCTCCGTCGCATTGCACCCATTGATGGTTTGTTCCAGTTCAATGCAATGCATGTCTCTCTCGATCCCACCCCACCTCCGCACCGCACAGCACCGCACCCCTCATGAATAAAAGACCGACAGACACGTCTGTCGAGATTAGGGGGAAGACTGACCACGGGAGAGCTGGAAAGGAAACTACCGAGGCAGGCAAGGCACACACGTCATGCACACTGCACGGAACGGACACTGCTTGCCTTGCTTGGAGGAGCGTTAGTTATGCCACAGACAGTGGATGGATGGATGGATGGATCTCTGCCTGGCTGTCTGTCTGTCTGTGTGTGGTGGAAAAAGCCACCAGATAAGAAGCGAAACTGAGACACCACAGATGGATGGATGGATAAGAGGGTGTGTCGTGTCGTGTCGGTTCCCTTGTGGGTGTGGTGTGGTGTCTATCTATGCTCTATCTATTGTATTGTCTGTACTACAGGCGGGCTGCTCCAGGCGACCGACTGTGTCCTCTCTCCCCCCTCCGCTCCCCTCCCATCCCCTCAGCTCAAGTGAGTGAGTGGATGGTGTCCTTACTCTACAAGGATGAGTAAATCACTGCAGACAGATAAAATGGCGTGGATGTTCATCGCACCGCACCGCCCAGGTCAGGTCAGGTGGGTGGAGAAAGATAGACAGGCAGGCACGCATTGCAAGCAGAAGGAAACAAAGACCAGCCATCCCATCCAGCCATCCATCCATCCACCAACATGCAGACCAGACCCACCACGCACATCACACACATCCACGCGTCGACATTCTCACTGCACTGATCGATTCCATCATCGATGGGTGCACCCACCTACCTGTGTGCTCCTGACTGACTCCCACGTGAGTCTCTTTGTTTCCTCGTCTCGGAGGTCGCTCAAGGCTCACCCATGGAATCGCCAGGCTCACACAGACACGCAGATGCAGACAGACGCCAGCAAAGACGTACGGGCACGGGAACAAACACCATGCATACACGCCACACAGGAACAGCAGACATTGGTTTGGTCATTCGTACGTTGCCCGATGGATGGATGGATGGATGGATGGGTGTCGTTGTCTCTCAGCAACATGCCCATGTTGACACAGTGCCATGATTCGACAGGCACCGGATCGACATGCACCGTGACCGACAGACAGGACACCCCTCCATCCCTCCATTCCATTGAGGCGAAAACACCGTAAGTAATCAAGCCGCAAAGCACAGCATCATTCAAACAGTCAGTCGCTCATGGTAAGTAAAACGAACGGGATCAGGTCAAGCATACACGGTCGACACAGGGGCCTGCAACACAGACAGACAGACAGACAGACACATATTCCCATACATGAACCCATACATGCATCCTCGCTGCTGTCCGTGTCGGTCCATGCTCTGACCTGTTGGCTGTTGATGTGGTTGTGCAGCATGGCAGCGTGTGTGTGGGCGTATTCGATCTCGGGAATAGCGCCCCTGTAAACATCGGGGTAGGACGTGCAGTCAGCCAACCCACACATGTTCACGCCTCTGCAGCCACACACACACACACACAGACACACAGAGAGAGAGAGAGAGAGAGAGAGGTACACAGACGTTGATGCATCCCGACCGACACGCACCTCTCGATCCAGAAGTGGCCGGCCATGCCGAAACTGGCGCCCCTGAAAGAGACACACCCGGCCCGCAGTTGCACCCATGAGTTCGTGTCATCCTCTCCCTCTCAGATTGACTGACTGACTCACTGACTGACCATGAGTTGCGCATGATCCAGTAGTCCTTGCCCTCGTGTGTGCCATACCCGACCGCCACCACCGCATGGTTCACCTTGTGGCGGTCCGTGGAGCATTTGGGCGAGCTGACCAGACAGAGCCAGGCACATACACCAGACACACACGACACACTCACTCTTGCTGCGTACACAAGGTGTGTCTGATCTGGTCTGTGTTGGCTTACGAGTAGACGCCCTTCTTGTAAAACCTGAAGTCGCGCACCACCTCGTAGGCAATCGAGACGGGACCCCTGAGCATATCCAATACACACACACACACACACACACACATCCAGACGCCTCTCATCGCCGGCTGTTCTGTCCATAAGTGTATTCATGTTCCGAGCCCACATGGTTGCGACGGCTTCGAACAGCTCATCTTCGTCGAAGGCGGTGATATTGATGGGCCCGCCCGGCACCACACCGGCTACGTCAATCTTTGACGCATTGTACCTGCGCCCATTGACACAATGACACGGATCCACGAACCAATCACCACAGAAGGATCCCCCACTGCCCACCTGCACGTGTGTTTGGGGTGCTTCTCAATGCCCCCGTCCTGGTAGGGGTAGCTGTTCTCGGTGTCCTGACCGCCTTGCCAGTGGATGTAGGAGAAGGCGTGGCTGGGCAGCCCGCCGTGGCATCCATGGTTGTCGAAACCGCGGGCACAGTCGATGAGCTGCTGCTCCGACAGCGTTTTCGCCCACTTGAAGAAGCCGCCACACTCCTGGGTGCGGATGCACGACACGTCCACCTCGCCACTCGCCAGCTCTTTCCTCATGTTCTTCAGTGCCATGTGTGCTTCCATCGACCCCTGCGCACCGCACCGCACCGCACCGCACACATGGATGGAAGATCCATGCATGTGTATGTGTGGTGGCAGCTGGTCTGCCTACCTACCGTGGACGAGAAGGTCCAGCAACTGCCGCAGTGCCCCTGGTTCTTCACAGGTGACAACTGCACACACAGAAAGGGAAAAAGGGAGAGAGAGAGACGCCCAATACAATACACACATTTCGCTCCCCTTCCTCCCTCCCTGTGCGCATTGGTTGAATGCTTGCCTTGCCCCACTCACTCACTCACCACGCCATACATGCGCCAGTCGAACCAAGGGGCAAACTCGTAGCTCAGCGACCGCCCATACCGCTTCCTGCTGTGCGGCGGTGCCGACGTCCGCAGGAGACCCTTGTTACTGCGGAGGGACGCCTCCTGAGTTGCAGAACAGTCCTGAATGAATGACAAATCACACAGACACACACACAGACACAGACACACACACACAAAAGGGCGAGTGAGTTGGGGGTTGTGGTGTGGTGAGGTGTGGTGCGTGTGGCGGCCATGCATGGCATGGCATGGCATATATGGTATGCATGTGGGAGCAATGGATGCCTCATCAGCCCATCCATGAGGACTGAGAGGCTCATGTACTTCCTGGGTGGGTGGCTATCGCACAGACTCAACATTCATTGGCACTTGAGTCACCGATGTGACACATAACAGACAACACCGGCCGGCTTATTGTGCGGTGCGGTATGACTGACTTACGAACGTATGCACTGCACTGCACGCCCCACTCACCTACCTGTTCCGCCATCAGCACGCGGCCCTGGAACTCTTCCCACGTCAGATCCGCATACTCGTTGAGACCAGCCTCCCACCTGACACAGCCACACACACACACACACACATGGCCATCCCATCCACCAAGGCCGTCTCCGTGGGAGTGTGCGTGCATGCAAGCATACGTCTGTCCAGGCCCGCTGTTGATCTCTTCGACGGCGCGCACATTGTCACGGAAGATCTCCAGGCGACGTGAGAGCTCCTCGGGATCATTGGCGTAGCTCTTCCCATACTCGCTGACGAAGCTTTGGAATGCCGCCTCCTGAATCAGCACCAACACAGCAGACAGTGAACTCCCCGGCATCTCTCGTGGCACCTACTGCATGGCTTGCCCCTCACCACTTGCTCCGAGGTCAAGCGCTCGGGTGCAGCGGCAGCACCGGCAAAGAGCGCCGTAAAGAGGAGAGGCAGGCACTGCACAGCTGAGATCTTCATTGACAGAGAGGAAAGAAGGCAGACCAGCAGCAGCGGTTGGGGAGGCAGATCTTTGCGAGCTTGAATCTGGGGAGGCGGGCTGGCAAGATGAAGGGCACATACGTCATCACGGGGGCGTCCTCAGGCATCGGCCTCGCCCTGGCAGAAAGGTAATCTGCACACTCCTTCATCTGCTACACAGATTCATTGCTTGTGAGTCCTTCAGGCTGGCAGCGGTGCCTGACACACATCTGCTGCTCACGGGCCGCTCGCTCGACAAGATGGAGGGCATCGCATCCAAGGCCATCAGACCCAAGCTGCATGGCTCGTCGTTTGCCGACTGCTTCTCGCTGGACCTCTCATCCTTCGCCTCCATTGAGGGCTTTGCAGAGGCTGTCAAGAAGTGTGTGGCTGGTGAGGGGCTTGACGTGATTGTTGGCAATGCGGGGTTGCAGGACACGCAGTATCGGACGACGCAGGAGGGCTTTGAGATGACATGGGGGTCCAACCACCTTGGGTGGGTGAGAGAGCATGCATGACTGCTCGGGCAGGCGATGCGATGGAATGATTGCATTGCCGGTTTGTTTCCCATTTGAATGCCTGCAGGCATTTCTATCTGGTGCGTCTGCTGCTGCCGTTGTTCTATGAATGCACGGAGGGGAAGAAGGACGCGCAGATCATCATGGTGAACAGAACAAGAGCCAACGACCGACGCCAGCCAATCAATCACACAGACAGCTCAGCTCCCTCTGCCTGGCTGCCTGTTTGTCCGCTCGTCAGGTGTCATCGGGCACCCACGATCCAGCCCGGAAGACGCCCGTGCCGCCGCCCAAGTTTGACAAGATAGAGGACATCGCAACAGTGCCGCACATTCGCGTCGATCCTACGCTCCCCGAGGAGGACAAGAAGGTGGGAAAACAGCCAAACCAAACAGCACAGCACACGGATTGACGATTTCTGTGTCTGTGTTCAGGCGCAGTTGGCTGCGAATGAGAAGGAGTACAATGGGTTGCGCGCTTACTCGCAGTCGAAGCTCTGCAATGTTTTCTTTGCCTATGAGCTGTCACGGCGGCTCCAGGGGCTGTGCCAGGCAGGTGGCAAGGGCGGATCGAGAAAGATATACACTATCGCATATGACCCTGTAAGTGCCAGCACAAACAAGACCGATGCGATGCGATGCCATGCACACACATTACGTTATGTGTGCTGGCTTTTCTCGATGTGATGGATGTTTGGTTCAGGGATGGATCCCAGACACCGCCTTGATGCGGAACAGCGTCATCCGCTACCTGGTTCCCGTTCTGGCCCCCATCATCCGCATGACGTCGCGCATGGCGAGCACCACTGAGCACACCAGCCTCTGGATGTGTAAGCTGGTGACGGGGGAGGTGCTGCCCGTGCCCGATGGCTGCTACTGGAGCGTCGACCGGGAAGAGAGGAGTAGCGAACTGAGCTATGACGAGAGGCTGCAGAAGGAGTTGTGGGATATGAGTTGTCGATTTACCAGATTGGGGGAAGAGCTGGCTGTCTGAGACAGATAGAGGGCCCACCCCCAGCTTTTTGTGTGTCGACATTTGTGCAATAAATGGCTTTCGTGTGAGGTTCGTGTGCGTGTGAGCGTGTTTTCGAATGTGGCATGGCTGTGCTTTGTATTTTGAATCAGTATGTGGCCATCCATTTTATCAACAGATGCATTGCATCAGTTTCACGTCGACACATCACATGCACCATTCATTCATTTCTTCCACGGCCTTTCAAACAAAGGAAAGGCAAAAAAGCCAACCCTTGTGAAATCGACACTACTGTACCATTCGATCGCTGACCTCACCCACTCAATCAATCAATTAACCGTCTGGCGTTCGTTCGTTCACCCTGCCCTGTTGGCATCACCTTGCTGCCGCTGACTGTTCCCCTGACCCGCCAAGCCAACACCCGCACCCTCCCGCCCCTCACCCCCACCCCCACCTCGGCTGTGGCCGTCTTCATCTCTCAGCTGCTCGTACCCGCCCCTGTTTGCCCGACCCCTCCCGCCAGTTGTCCTGTGCGGCGATCGAGATTGCGCCGCCGCCCGCTCTGATGGAGACGATTCGCCGTGTCCGTATGTGGCGGCGTCCGTGCTGATTCCTCCCTCGCCCTCCGACTGCCTCCCATCAGGCTCGGCTGCCTCCGCCATGTTGTCGCTCAGCTTCGCCTTGAGCTTTGGCGGCGGCGCGACGACTATGGAGACGGGGTGGTGGCGGCCAGGTGAGTTTGGCGAGTCACTGCCGCTCGACTGCCCCGCATCCGCATCGCCGGAGGCGTCGCCTTTTCTTTTGGTCTTCCAGCGCGCCCCCACCACTGCAGGGAGTGTGCTGACGCCGGCCGGGGAGGTGGCCGGTGAGGGCTGGTTATGGTTGTTGGGGGAGCTGGAAGCCTCGGGGGCTGTGAGCTTGGCCAGCTCTGGATCTTCGGGAGTGTCGTTGTGACTCACACTGTCGTCTGGACGAACGGCACACGCGTGCACACAATAAATAATGCGAAGGCGACTATTTCCCTTCTTAGTGGCGTGGGCATGTTTACCAACAAGGTTGTCATCGAGATGGGCGTCCGGGATGAGACAGAATGTGAGTGGGATGCAGAGGGCCGGCAGGATGATGTGGCCCACAACGATGAGAGCTGGCAAGCCGGCAAAGTTGCAGGAACCCTCCTGAGCCAACGGACAGATTCATAGACGGGTGCATGTCACTTGTCGTCACGTGTCCGTCCGTCCGTCCGTCTCACTTCGGTGGATATGCCTGCTGCCTTGGTGAGCCACACACCCGTCGCCCGGGACACGTTGGCACCGAAATTAGCGAACCCAGCCAAGATCGCATATATTGTCGACTCCCTGACGATATGATAGATACAGACAGACAGACAGACAGACAAGCCAAATTCTCTCGTCAATAAAGACACAGAGGTCGCTGAGTTCTCTGTCCTTGTCTATCTGTCCATCCATCCATCCATAGGTACTTACATGTTCTTGGGGCAGAGTTTGGATGTGAGTATGACGGCGGGCATAAAGGCCATCATACCACAGAAGGGCTGGATGATGGCGTCCCCCAACATGTACATCCACTTGTCCGGCACACCCAACCGGGAGACGTTCCATCGTTGGACCAGAATGAGGTCGAAGAAGGATGCCAGGATGCGCAAGACGGTCGTGACCCAGAACACGGCTCTGAACCGCCACGAGCTCAACACCGTCTGGAACACCCAAAGTCCGACAGATGACGCCGCTATACCCGCTGAACGAACAAACAACCCGGGAAGAGCACATGTGCCTGCGGGTCGGGTGTGCGAGAAGCGCTTGGGGCTTTCATGCATGCGGCGCGTACCGATTTGGGTCCATGTGGTGTAGTATGTATAGTCAAAGGCAGGCCCACCAGGCAGGCACTTGGCATCGCTGGTATACCAGAACTGAAAACAGAAAAGGCAAGACACGCATTCAACAAGAAACCATGCACCTCTTCTTCTTGTTCTCTTGCAGCTGTACGTCAAGGGCACCGCTGATCGATATGTACAGAGCATCTGACGACAGACAGACAAATAACACACAACAAACAAATCCTCTCGTGTGCATGCATGTGTGCCACGCGTGTGCACGACGGACGGACCTTGCAAGAACATGTACAGGTTGCACATGGCGAGTGTCCGCGGCAGACACCAAAAGGCCATGCAGCACAAGACAAACGACACGCAAATGGCGTAGAACACCTGCGCAAGCTCCGTGCCAAGCAATCCTGAACCAACACAACAACACAACACAACCCAACCCAACCCAGATGGGTGACATGACAGGTGCCATTGCTGTATGTATGCTGTGCTGACCGACGACAGCAAGTCCTAACGCCCCTACAGCCATCGACAGCGCCAACACAAACGGACGGATCTGAGCACTTATCTTCGCACCCTGACAGACACACAACAGCCACCCATACACATCCATCCATCCATCCATCCCTTGCTCCCCTCCCTCCCTCCCACCTCTAGTCGATTGCTCTTGCTGGGCGGCACCTGCACCTCAGGCAGGAATCCCATGGCCAACGGGATGAGCGCTTGGCAGGCGCACGGGAGCGCTATCCAGAAGACGACGGCGACATCGAGGTAGTCGGCTACGGGGCCAACTATGAAGCTCGCCACCAACTCGCCCAGCATCACGCACAGCCACACGAACGTCACGACATCTACGTGTACGTACAGGGAGAGAAACAAACAAAGGCACTCGTCGCTCCACACACGGCTTGGCTTCTGCGTGCTCCCTACCTCTCTCCTGCCTCACCTGATTTGGTGTGTGGATTGGCCACCATGAGTTCTGCGTACTTTCCCTCACACAGCAAATCGAGTGTGGAGCATTGTAGCATCACAAAGAATAACCCAATCGCAATCGTGGCCGGCGCGTGCATGGCCACATCCGCTGGCAGCAGCGCCAGCCCGAGGGAGCCCGCGATGCCGAACAAAGCCGCAATCATCATGTAGTACCTGCAACAGCACACACGCACGAACGCACGAACGCACGTATGTATGTAAGTATGTGATCTACCCATCCACCACTTGGTCCGTCCGTCCCTCACTTACCGTTTGTTGTATCCAAACAGCGGGAGTGCGTCGGAAAGCGCCCCAATGAGTCCCTTGCAAGCCCAAGGCGACATGCCCACGAAGACGATGGTCTGGTAGGCAATGGCAGAGAGCCCCGCCTTTTTCTTGGAAAAGGGCAGCTGAGCGCCGTAGACGAGCTTGCTCACCAGCCCCTTGACGCCCAGATACACTGACATCAGCATGATGATAAATCTCCACCCAAAGTTGTCCCTCAGCCGGCCCAAGTAGGCGGAGAACGCACCGGGGCCGATGTTGTTGAGGACCGTCTTGAGAGATGGGACGTTGCAATAGCCAGTTCCCTTGTCATCGTCGGCAAGATCTTCATCTCGGTATTCCTCTGTGTGCCGGTCGGGTCTGTCCATCTCTTCTCCTGCTGTCATTGTTCGAGGGGTGGAGTGCAGCAGCGGCTCGGCTGCGAATAGCGGCAGATACAGAGGGTCGTCCACTTTGGCGTCACCAGGGACGAGGAGGAAGCCTCCTTGTCAGGGTCTTTCGCTTAAGTGGAGCATTCAAGGGTTTTTGGGGTCTAGGGTTTCTTGTTAAGATTAGGCTGCTCTAGCCCAGAAAGAGGGCTCGCAAAGTGAGTGGATCCCGAAGCAACCAACCTTTCCAGTTCCAGCATTCTTATTCTTTGCTATTGGCGTTCGTCTTGTCGTTCATCGGTCCTCTCGCAGCAGCGTTTCTGTCGTCGACGATTTCTCTTGACCTCTCTCGGTTTTTCTCTCTCAAGACGGGATGAATTCCCTCTTTCGCTTTCCGACGGATTCCAACCCGAGCGAGAGCCCTGCTCCGTCGCCCCTTTCGCCGATAATCAACTGGGTGAAGAAGCTCCGCCTGACAGTGTCGGGAGGGACCCAGCAGAGCACCGAGACAATTACCGAGACGGACAAGCAAAAGGGAAGCTGGTGGCCGTTTTCCCTCTTCACACCCAAGGACAGGCAGAAGCAGAAGGCTAACCGACACACACAAGTGAGTCAAGGAGGGAGGGAGGGAGGGAGAACATGCATGGATTTTCTCGGGCTGGGTGAGGAAACCTGAGGGCACGGTGTGCATGTTGTCTGTTTCTCTGCAGCCTGGCGGCCTCTCGCGGCCTGCTGGTGCACAAGGCGGCACTCAGGGCAGCAATGCCCGTACTGAACCCCCTCCAGGTCAGGAGAATCTCCACGCTACGAGCCACCCGTGACTGCTGCCTCTGTGTGTGTTGTGTGTTGTGTGTTGTGTCCTTTCCTTCCGTCAGTTCCGTTGCGCCAGAACCCTCACAGGTGGCTCCGTCGGCTGTCGCCCTACTACCCATCCCCCTACCCAGTGCCCCTTTCCCAACCTCTGCGGAAGCAGTTCCTCAGGAACGCCCGCAAGGCCCTTCTCGACGCCAACGAACATGCACTCAAGTTCGGCTACCAGTGGGCGGCCAGGGACCTCATGCCAGCGCCCCAGACGGTCCCATCCACTGTCCCCCCGACCCCTCGGTACTGTGAGGTGTCGCTGCCCGCCGTGCGGCAGCTCAACATCAAGGCGGCTGTCGAGACGTTGGATATGCACCAGGCCCGCTTCGCGCGGGGGGCCAAGATCACCAGCTTCGCGCGTGGCGGGCTGCGCGACGGGGAGAGCACCGGCGGCTCGGTGTTCTTCTACGGTTCTGAGTTCGACTACACCCCCGGGCTCAAGGTCATTCAGCAGCAGGACCCCTACATGATGTCGCCGTATCGGAGCACCTGGAACAGGGTCAGGCTGACCCTGCACGCCGGCGACTGGGTGGACGTGTAAGTACCCAGCCACACACAACGGGCAGGCAGACAGGCAGGAGGGAGGGAGAAAGATATCGATCCATCCATCCATCCACCTATTTCTTCTCAATGTCAGGGCTCTCAAGGAGGACCCCGCGGCGACCCTTCTCCTGACGTTCCTGCCCCACAAGCCCAGCAACCCCTTCGGCTTTCCTGGCATCGACCCCCAGGCCCTCTCACTGGCCACACACGTGGCGCAGCAGAAGACTCAACTCAAGGACTTCTATCTGGAGGACCGTGGAGGTCTCGTCGGCCGCTCGGACCTGTGCGAGCACCTGCGGACCGACACAGGATGGGGCGCGCTGTCCGGCTTCAAGTCGATCCAAGTGACCTACTGCGCGGGCGTCAACATCTACAGAGGGCGCGAGAGCAAGGGGTACCCGCTGTTGCCCAAGGCGGCCTGCCTGCCGGTGGCCATTGTTCAGCCCTCACCCGAGCAGTATCGCGCCAGCAAGGGAGGGACCATCGCCGAGGCTGAGGTGGCCATGACGGCCATGATCGAGGCGGCCCTCAGCGCGGCCATCATCAACAGCAAGACCACCGTCGTGGTCGACCTCGACAGCTTCGAGAGGCTGGGCGGCATTCTGTCGTGGAGCCGCATTCTGGACAGGGTGGCCACCAACTTCTATATGCCCTATCGCTATATGCTCAGGCGCATGCTGCTGGTCAAGAGCTCACCCCTCGACGAGCCTCTGCACCCGGACCAAGGCTACACCGGCCGCATTGCGGCTAAGGGTGGCGTGGATGACTGCACGACTCAGATCGGGCGGCAGGTTCATGCTGATGAGCCGGGGTCGAGGTGGCCCGCCCCAACTCGCTTCGCGCTCGACTACTGCGACCTCTACACCGAAGAGGACATAGCCATGTGGCTGGCTGAGCTGGAGAACAGCACGGCGTCTCAGAACAGCACGGCCCAGACTCTCGACTATCAAGTAACCGGCTCAGCAATTGAGTCGTTCCTTCCATCGGCCCCTCGTCTCGCTGATGTTGGTCCTCAGCATCACAAGCCGCCTCTGGTGGACGCCGCAGACGACACTGACCCATATAAGCAGCCGCCGCCCAAGGACCCTGCAGCACACAGGGAATGGGTGGACGCTATCTATGCGCAATTCGTCCCAGACCCGAGCAGCCCCACCGGCTGGAAGAAGAAGGAGCGGCGGGACAGACTCGCGGGGCAGGAGAATGGCCAGGCCAGCTATGGCGGCCCCTCGCACAACGGTCACTACAACAACGGGAGTGGCGTCGGTCAGAACGGCTATAGCCATGGGTATGGCTATCAGGGTCTTCACAATGGCCCGGCTGGCGGGGGTGCGGGTCCCCTCAGCCCGTCTCAGCGGCTCGGCTACGGCAGCCCGTCGGAGAGACTATCGCAGCACAGCGGACGTGCGGTGGGTGTCAACGGCAGCGGCAACAGCGGCCCCCCCTCTCCCTCCCTCCTCAAGCGTCAGAGCGGCCCCAACTGCTTCACCACCCCTCAGGGTGCCTTCGAGTCCAACAAGTGGAAGATGGAGCAAGAGAAGCAGCACCATGCGCGGCTTGCCGAGTGGTACAAGGAGGGGGGATGGCTCAAGCACCATGTGGAGCAGAGCGACTGGTACAAGCGGCAAAAGGCCCAGCGGGAAGGCCGCTTGCCCACCTGGCAGAAGCTCATGGAACACCAGAGCCGCCCCAGCGGCAACGGGCACAATGGGCGGCGGAAGGGCCACCACAACGGCCACCGCAATGAACACATCGACAGGCGGCGCAGGACGGTCGGCGGCTACGTGTGCGAGCCCATCGCAAGAAACCCCGATGGATCGGTCAAGACTCACTTCAGCTGCAACGATTTCAGCTCTGTCCCTTTTGACCCCAACAAGTACAGTGGTGAGTCGGGCCAGAGGGAGCTGTTTCTGATCCGCAACGGCCTCAAGCCCCCACCCCCCAACGAGCGACACTACATTGACGTGGACTATGTGCGGTCTAGGCGCCAGCACGACCCCAACTTTGCCCCTTGGGTTAGTCTGGGCACAGAGAGAGAGGGCGGCAGACAGCAGGCGGGGCAGCAGCCCAGTGGCAATGAGCGTCCGCGTGAGCAGCAGCAGCAGCAGCAGCCCGCGGTGACGGCGAGCCGCCCGCGCATGACGCAGCCATCCCCTGCATACCGCCGCAGGTGGGAGGATGACGACTTGCCGGCAGACGGGAGGGGGCTCGGTATGGGCAATGGGAATGGGTCCAAGCGGCCACGGCCACCAACAGGCGGCGGCGGGCGTCTTCTCAACGGCCCGGCAGCAGCGAGTGAATCGGCCAGTGCCTCGGCGAGTGCATCGGCCAGTGCATCGGCCAGTGCATCGGCCAGTGCATCGGCCGCGCAGCCATCGGTCCATGTGCCTCCTCCCTCGCCGCCGAGCCGACCCAAGAAGAAAGTGCGGTTCAATGAGGAGGTGCACATCGACGGGGAGGGGGTGGGCCGGCTGAGCGGCGGCCAGCCCGTGGACGAAGTGGATGAGGCAATGGTCGATACAGATCGCAGCTCCGAGCAGCAGCAACAGCAACAGCAGCAGCAGCATCAGCAGCAGCAAGGGTCTATGTCCAACGGAGTGTCGGCAGAGGAGCAGCAGACGCCCCAGCGCCCCGACAGGAGGAGTCGTGACGACGGCGAGGAAGGGGGGAAGACGCCTGGCGAGGCCAGCCAGCGGCCGTCCAAGCGTCGCCTATCACGCCTCGATGAATATCTCCAGGTGAGTGAGTCATATCTGTCGCACACGGCACGCACAAACAGACCGACAAAGGCACCAAACATGTGGATGGGCATGTCATGTCGTGTGTGTTGTGTTGTGTGTGCTCAACCTACTCTGCAGTCGCGGCCGTGTTTCCAGCCGTACAACCCCGAGGAGTGGCCCACGGCGTACGGCCCCGCCATGTGTCACCCCGACAGCAGCATGTCACCCGAAGAGCGCAGAGAACACGAGCACATCATGCTCCGGCGGCCAGCCATGAACGTCCAGAGCTGCCCCTTGACGGAGGAGCAGCAACGTGAAGTGGAGGAGTGGAAACGCAAGCTGGACCTCCCCCCTGTTCCCCTGTTCTCCGCACCCCCTGCTCAGCCCGCTGCTGCTGCGGCAGCCGCTGCTGCGACGGGTGGGGCGGCGGGTAGCATCTTCCAGCACAGCGAGCCTGCTGCGGCCGAGACCGGTGCAGCGGCCAGCACTGCTGGGGTCTCATCTTCCACTCCTGGTGCGTCCACACACAGCCGTGTCATACACATGCAGAGAGGCACAAACGCATGCGGCACTTGGTGTGTGTGGGGCAGGTGTGTCGTCATCGTCTGGAGCGGGAGCCGACACGAATGCGTCCACCGCAGCTGTGGTGTCGTCGAGCTCGGCTGCCTCTGCCTCATCGCAGCCCGCAGCTGCCTCGACCGGGGCTGCAACCAGTGGTGCGGCGGAAGCTTCGTCAGCCAACGCCGACGCGAAGCTATTTGTCACTGGCGTCTTCGGAGCGGTACCCTCTACGGCCGTCGATCCGAATGAGAGTGAGCAGCAGACGAATGAGTGAATGCATGTGTGTGCGCTGCAGCATCGTGGTGGATGTGATGTGTGTTGATTCGTTCAGATCCGTTTGTGTCGGGTTTTGCGTCTGGTGGCGGCGCTCAAATGGCCAAATCCCGACGCATGAGGTGAGCGGACACACACACAGACATAGCGGCAGACACGCGACGACAATTGAACTCGCCCGTCTCATTGCTGCCTGTCTGTCTGTTTGTGTGCGCCTTGTATTGGTCAATCATCAGGCGTGGAAGCAAGCCTTGAACGAACGAGGTGGAACCGACCGAGTCGTCCAGCAAGTGCCAATCACTATGCGGGTGCGAATTCGTCAAAGAATGTCAATCAAGCACGCACAAGATGCGGTGCAGCGTCCAAATGATATGCATGGCCCGCGTGTAAAGACTGACTCACTGACTGACTGATAGATACGGCCGCTGGTGTAAGAGTGACGGTGAAGGTTGCTGGCGGACAGTTTTCGCATTTGTCGGGGTGGGGGTGCAACACGAAAATCGTGTGTGGGCGGCCTGCCCTGCGTGTGTCATCTTGGCGCCTGTGACCTGACCCTTCTCTAGTGAGCTCGCTTGAGAAGGGTCAGGTGCCAGAGCGCGATGTGACATGCACCCAGGGTAGAAGAAACGGGAAAAGAGCGATGATCGCAGACTGGCCGAACTTGCAGAAAGGAAGCAGGACATTTAACTTGACACACTCGCAACCATTCACATGGATGCACCGTGACGGTCCACGCCACGCCAGTCATCACAGCCCCGTATTCACACACACACACACACACACACACAGCAGCTAGCACGCACCTAGGCTGTCTGTATCTACACACAGGCAGAATTAAACTAAAGATGCCACACCTAAGCCTCTGCATCCTCATCGGCAGCATCAGCGTCACCCACCAGCTCCTCACCCACCACCGGCCGCGACAGCCGGCCCACAAGCTCAGATAACAGAGAGCTCTTCACCCCTCCAGCAAAGGGATTCGCGGGCAGCCTCGCGACTCCCATCTCATTATTCCTGTCCTCCCCCACACCCTCATAATGCTCGCCACTGCCCTTGGCGTTGTCTTCATGACGTGCTGAGTGGGGCCTTGCATCTCCCGTAACGTCATTCTGGACCAGCTGCTGGGCGCTGGGCTTGTCGAAGAAAGGTTCGTCTGTGGTGTCATCGGGTGTGGCGCCGGGAAGATGGCGGATGACGACAGGCAGTGGCTTGGTCCTGTAGCCGAGGACCAACTGGAGCTCACGAATCGTCTCGCGGCCCTGCTCCTGCACCTGAACGAACGAACACCACACGCGCATACACACACAGAGGTGACAACAACAAGGTTGGAGTATTGGTGTGGTGTTGTGTCGCGTGGTGTGGTTTTGTGTCTGACCTTTTTGTCGGCTTGGTGTATCGCCGACCCTATCGCACGGTGTTCTCCCCTCTGGCCATCATCTCCACCGACCGCACAGAACACCTCGAGCTGATCGCCCCCCTCGCCTCTGATGACGGGAGGGCTCGACTGCGGTTCCTGCCCTTCGTCAGCCACAGGTTGCGGTTCCTCCGTCTGCTCATAGTGGATGGGTGGGGGAGGGGAGGGCTGTGTGGGTGGCTGTCGTGGTTGGAGCAGCAGCAATGCCTCAGCCCTTTTCATGTCCTCCACAGCTTCACTCAGATGCTGGCTGACCGTCTTGACCACGGCAGAGATGGCACCTCCATCACCATGGCCTTCACGAGATAGCTTCGTGAGCCGCAGCGACGCCAGTGCCGACCCAAGGGAGATGTTGAGGCGATCGAGCGCCTGACACACGTCCATGACTGTGCCTCGCCCCCAACGCACGGCGCTCGGCGAGCCGTTCGCACGTGGGGATGGGGCGTCTCCCTGCGGCATCTGGGTGTAGCAGAGGGCCAGCTGAGCCCTCAGAGATGCCTTGCCAGAGGCCAAGGTCCGCTCAACTCTCCGCATAGCCGCAGCACACCGTATCTGGACCACCACCAGGCGGCGCACAAGCTCCAGCTGTGTGCCGAGCCCTCCATGCTGGTTGCTTGCGTCGGCTGCCTCCGCCACAGTGGCCTTGAGCTGACTTTGCACGAGTGAGCACACCAGCTGGAAGGCCGCCTCCATCCGCCCAAGCCCGCTCTTCAGTGACGACAGCGACAGAAAAACCATATCGTCTTCTGTGTCGTCCTGATGAGCATGTGGTGGCGGGAAAGCCTCTAAGGCGTCAGCAATCCCGATATCAACGCTCCCGCCTGCACTCAGCTGTCGGGCGGCCTCCCTCAGAGCGACCATGACGTCACTCGTGTGCTCATGGATCGCCCGGCGAAGACCCTTGAGCGCCATGAAGGCAAGGGCGCCCCTGCTGCTGGAGGACGCCTCAATGCGTGTGATGGGCGGCAGCACCTCGCCAAGCCGGAAGCCCCGGCGCACCAGCTCGACTTCCTGAATCCAACGTAGGGCCTCACGAGCCACTTTCCAGTAGCCATCGTGCGCATCGATGGCGCCATTCAAGGAAGATGCCACTGAGCGGGTCACTTGGTAGAGCAGCACGGTGACAGACGACACTAGGCCACCGGCGAAACAGAGGATAGCGCCGCCCCACAGCAGTCCTCGCGCCGTCCCTCCCTGATAGTGGCGCCATGAGTAGACAGTCAGGAGGCTGAGGGCAAGTGTTGCAGCCGTCCAGCCCGTCGGACACAGCGCTCTCGTCGTGAAGCGTTGCCGCTCAGCATTCTCGTCGATGTGCGCCATGACATAATCGCCGTAAGCCTCAGCCAATGCCGCAGCCTTCGGCAACGTGGCCTCGTCTTTGCCGCCGTGTTCATCCACATCTCTTGGTTGGAGCTGGCTGGAGAGGGGCTGGGCATCAGTAGGGCCGCAGAGATGGCCCTCTCCGATGGATTGCAGATACTCAGCCAGCGCACCGCTGCACACCTCCTCATTCATGACGACTCAAATCGAAGCGATTCTTGTTTTAGAAGAGCCTCCTTAGCGTGGGAGGGTTGAGAGGCCTCCAACGAGGAGGGAACGGCCGGCTTATTTGCGAGCTCATGTGAGGCGAGCTTGGCTTGGGGGGAGATGGATATGCTGCCGGAAGGGGAGATGTATGATGACAGCAAGGCAGCGCTCGATGAGCGTCGCCGCGTGCCGAGGCCGCGTCTTGAAGAGCCAGCAACCGACAACAATGGCAGGCGGAACTCGTCCGCATCTGTGAGCGATGACCCGCCGCACATAGACACTCCCACCGGCAGACTGAGAGGTCCTGGTGATGGTGAAAGCCGCCTGGACCAAGATAGAGATGAGGATGACGACACCGTCGTGTGGCTGGCTGGCGCTGTGTGGAACCTGACAAGCATCGAGGACAGCGAGAAGCGGTCCAAAGCCATCAAGATCCTACACACCATCGTCAACAACCTGTTGCTCGGTACGCGAAGCAAGCACGGCAAGGTGTTAAGTACATGTGTTCCGATGTGTTTGTGTGTGTGTTTGGTTCAGATTTCGACAAGTACTCATCCTTGAAGGCCAGTACGACAGCCTTTCAGACGCACATCGCCCCACATGCCGACTGCCTTCAAGTGCTGCTGGTAGGACGGGTGCACAACGCACACGCCCAGCACAAGGAGAAGGACCATAATCTCCCGGGTTACTCGCCTTCTGTGTCAGTGTGTGGGGTTTGAGGAGAGTAGCGGCGTGTGGAGGGCGGGGAGCCCAGAGCGGCATCTTCCCAACATATGGCTGGCCAAGATGCTGCTAGAAGATCTCAAGACAGAGCTCAGCATCATTCCGTCACGCAGCCCCTGCCGCAGCAATACGCCCAACCCCGAGAGCAGCTCAGCAGATGACTTCCTCGCCGCATCGCGTCGTGTACAGCAGGACGGCGGCAAGCTGAGTCGAGAGCAGCTGGCGGAACTCCATGCCAAAAGACTCGAAAAGGGCGGCGGTGGACGGGGGGTACCTGCTAGTGGTGAGGGAGCCACAGAGATGGACGGACGGGCTTGTCTTGCTTGGGGTGTGGTAATGGATGTGTGTGTTGCGCTGCGTATGCAGGGATGAGAGCCAGGGAGCCTGTGCGCCTTGGTGGTCGGCAGAGCGGGGTGGGCCGCGGCCAGGTTGACCTGCAGGGGCAGCGAGAGGCCTACATCGCTGCCTCGCGAGCCAAGTACAAGAGCCGATGGCCAGCAAACGGAGGCGGCCCCAAGGTAACTTACCCCCCCACACAAACGCGCCATCCTGCGTCAACAAGACGGCCAGTCTTGGTGGTTGTTTCAGATCCGTGACGCCGACGGCAAGTGGATCCCCTACGTGCCCGCCGCCCCTCGAACCGAGCGCGATTCCTCCCTGCCCGCAGAGGAGCGCGCGAGGCCGCCCCCGGGATCGCTGCGTGAGCTGGGAGAGCGTGACAAGCGCCTGGACAGCACGCCGCAGTGGGACAGGGACGGCACGGTTTATCTTGGGTTCAAGGCCTTAGAATACACCAACGACTTCAGGCGAATGAACAGGCTCCCCCAGCTGGAGTGGTCCCAGGTGAGTCAAGGAGACAGAGGGGTGCATGGGAGGGAAACAAACGCTGCTTCCTTTCTGTCTTCTGATGATTGATGTGTGGTGGGTTTGCGTGGTTTGTGTGTGTATGCAGGCGCTTTGTCGGATCGCAGCTGAGCATTCGCGGGCCATGCTGTCAGGCAATGTGCCCTTTGGCCATCAGGGCTCTGACCGTCGGTTCTCGTCCTACCCCTTCCCATCTGTCAGCGCCGCCGAGAATGTGGCCTGGAACTCGGTCAGCAGTAACAGCTGTCATGAGATTCTCGTGTTGTCATACATCATCTCGTGAATGCGTCTGCCTGTCTGTCTGTGTGCAGGGCCACAGCGGCGATGCGTCTGCCCGCGTGTGTGTCGATAGCTGGATTGGGTCTGACGGTACGCACTCACTCACCAGCAGAGAAGCGACATCTCAATTGTATGGCTCGCTTGTGTGTGGTTTGCTGGGCTGATGCATTCATTCAGGTCACCGCAAGAACATGCTGGGCGAGTTCAATGTGTGCGGCATCGGCGTGGCGCGGGACGCTGGCGGCCGCACCTACTTCACACAGCTGTTTGGACACCGAATGTCGGGCGTGTACCAAGAGCAGCCCACAGTGCGGAATAGCTGATGGGGGAGATGGATGCTTGATCTCTGTTTGGCTGGCGTGTGGGGCGCCGGGGGTGGTACACTGGCGGCCGTAGACGTCGGGATCGCGCTCTGAGCCGAGAGCGAGATTCCATCGTCATCGCCCGCCGTGCTGCCCCTTGTTCCCTCATGTCACACAGACAAGCGGCGAGTTCAGACAGCGGGGAGTTTTTCCTAGTGTGAGGTGAGCAGATGACTCTGCGGTGTAGATTTCGTGATGACTGTACAGCGTGTGTACGACTGATGCGTTCTTTGCCTCAAATGCATGTCATTCACTTTCGCCTCTCACTGCGAGCTCAGAGTACGCTGAATGATTTGCCTCAAGGATGCTCCCGGTGCTGCCCCTCGTCTACACCTCCTTCGCGTGGCAGATCTGCCAACTTCGTGAACAAGATCTGCCAACAAGCGCATCTCTCAGCATCAACTTTTACCACGGACGTGGAAGGCTCAGGCTGACAGGAAGACGAGAAGTGGGGATGAATGGAGATGGCGATGCCGACAGCGAGAGCCAGCCGGGCGTCATCCGCAAAGGCCCGCTTGCCCCTCGCAGGTTCTATGCGGAGGACGCCGACGTGCCAGAGGCAATCGAAATGCATCCTATAGGCGTCGTGAGGTCAGTCGAGTCCATCCATGTGACATGTTCTGTGCATGTGATGTGACATTGGTGTGTCAGATCCCCGTATAAGGAACGCTTTGGCACTCCACGACAGCCTGTTGTGACGGAAGGGACACTCGGTGGCGTGAAGCAGAATGCGACGGTGCAGCTGTTGCGGGGGCACGGCTATGAGGCTTGCCTTGAAGATGTAGAGGGCTTTGAGCGGGTGTGGCTGATCACCTACATGCACCTCAATCAGGTCAGTCAGAGAATGAATGCCTCCACTGGGCCCTGCTTCTGCCTAACACACACATTGGCCCTCCTGTGTGTCTATGTAGGGCTGGCGCAGCAAAGTGCGTGTGTATCCACGGAAGCTGCCCCGTCGGCTAGGTCTGTTCGCCACGCGAGCCCCGCACCGCCCGAACCAGCTGGCTCTTTCGGCGGTCGAAGTGGTGGGGGTGGATGTGGACGCCGGCCAACTTCATATACTCGGACTGGACTTACTAGATGGGACGCCTGTGCTCGGTGAGTACCTACCTGGATGGATGCCCCCGCAGGTTGGTTGCTTTGTATGTGTGTGTGTGATGGGTGGGTGTGGTCTTGTGCAGACATCAAGCCTTATGTGCCCTATGCTGACGCATTTCCCGACTCGGCAGCTGGGTAACCAAGAGGAAATAAATACGCACTTGACCGATGGATGATGCCTGCAGTGTGTGCAATGTCCTTCGTGTGTCGATGACACGTGGGTGTGTGTGTGTATGTGTAGGTGGCTTGATCAGTATGACCGAGAGCAGCAGATGGGCAGGGATGAGTTCGGCCATGAACTGCCCCCTTGGTGTGCCGGCGATACTGGATGACGCCGTCCGTGTGACAATAGCCGACGATACGGTGGACAATCAATGGTGATGGGCGTGAGCGTGTGTGTGTGCATATGTATACATGTGTACTTGATGATGGATACATACTGACCGTTCCAGTGAGTGATGAACGAACGGGAGAAAGTGAACGCTCGATATGAAATCGACGAGAGATAGATCGCAACCGTATGTATCGTCGAATTAAGATGCTACGCAGAAAGTCGGCACGCAATGCCCCCACCACCACCACACACACCCCGTCCCCCACGAGCCACCCCTGCCGGCCCCTCAGTCAGTCTATGGAATGGATCAGCGACGCATCAACTGTGTTGTGCTCGCCGACACACACATCCCTCTCCCTCCTGGGCCATACTCGCCTGACGCCCGCCTGCCGGGCGGCGGATGCATGCCAACGCCAAATGGAGGCCGCATAGGGTAGCTCGTGGCCGGCATCACCGGCGTTGCGAAGCTAGCCACGGTCGGGAGCGCCTTCAGGGACGCAGACGGGGCCAATCCTGGCATCGGGCGGACTGGCACGCCCATGGACAGACGTGAGGCTGCCGGAGGGGGTGGAGACGTCCCTACACCAATGCTGAGTGGGCGGCTGCTGGTCGCGCGTGAGGGCCACCGCGGTGGCTGCGGGGAGGAGAACGCCATTCGATCCCGCATCCCTGGGGCAAGGGAGAGGCCGAGAGGTGGGGCGCCCCAGGCAAGAATGGGCCGAGCGGGAGGGGCAGTGGCTGCCGAGGACGATGGCTTGGCTCCCTCGTCGATCTCCGTCACCTCCAACGCCTCTGTCGACGGTGCCGGTGCTGCAGGTCCACGGCTGGCCACCGTGGCCTTCACGTGCTGGTGTCTCGAGAAGCCCCGCTGCACCTTAGCGCCTTCACGGGGTACGATGGCCGTCGTCTTGCCGAGGCCCCCGCCCTCTGCAAATGGACTCCTGGTGGCGAGTTTCTTGCTGGCTGCCCTGTCCATCCCCGCCTTCTTGCTGTGGGTGTCCGACACACGGCCGATCTTGCCCACCCCTACTGGCTTGGTCGGCTGCTGCTGCTGCTGCTGGGCCACAACACGCGAGAGGTTGAGCCGAGGCACCGCGATGCGCTTGCCGCCGACAGGCATCGTGTCTCCGCCCCCCTTGTTGGTGTCGGTCGTGCCTTTGGAGTGGTCGGCAGGTGGGTGTGGGTGGAAGGAGGGTGCATGGACGGGAGGGGGTGCCGGAAGGGAGTCGCCTGGGTAGTCGTTGTACAGCTGCAGCGACGTGTGGGGTCGGTGTGGGACCTGCGGATGGGCAGGGGACTGCAGCAAATTGGCGCGCGACTGGCATCGACGGAGACCGTGGTGGGCGGGCTGGATTCCGCCATCTGCAACCGACACAGAGAGATACATGCGATGGATCAGATCTGATCCATCCCTTCCTCTCACTCACTCACTCCCTCCCTCACCATGGCGCCCACCCAATCCCTGCTGCTGCATCAACTCGATCCCCAGAGAAGGCACCGATGCCGACACCTCCAGCCCCGCCCTCTTCGACGGCTCCACCACCGCAGCAGCAGCACGGTACGCCGCAAACGCAAACGAAGGCGACTGTTGCTGCTGCTTCTTCTTCTCTATTTCTTTGATGTCGTCCCACCCATCGGCCGAGTATGTCAGCGAGTCGTTGACGCTCACACCGGCATGTGCCATGCCCGCCAGTGCCCGGGGAAGCGTGAAGGACGACTGCACAGAGGACAGATCGAACGAGACGAGCTGTTCCTCTGGGGCGGCCCCCGGGGGCGACCGCTGGAAGGGCTGGGGCGACTCAAAGGGGAGCTGGCGTGATGGCTCGTCCAGCTGGGGGTGGTCGATCCGCCGGGCTGTGTCCAGGTTGGTGTTCTCGTCGTCGAACTTGGTGTGGAGCTCTGAGGGATCCTCCGTGCACTCGCCGCCCCTTTCGCCCTCGATGTAGAGCGGGCTGTCGGAGGCGGCATCCTGCTGAGCACGATCCATGTGCACGGGGGCCAAATCCAGCCTGAGGGAGTGAGACACAAGAATAGCGAGAGAGGGTCGCACACGCATAGTCCATCCTTACTTTGGGACCGTTATGCTCCGGATGCGTCCTGCTGCTTCAGACTCCTCCCGTTGCCCCTCCTCTGCCCCCGCTGCCTCGTCAGTATCGTCACGCGCCTTCCCGACAGGCACGGCGTCACGTGCCTGAGTGTCCAGGGGAAAAGTCGAGCTGAAGCGACTCGGGCTCTCCTCAGCTGCCGGTGGGGCCCACTGAATGGATTGAATGGACTCGGCTGCTGGGGGGCGGAGGTCCTGCATGGGGCTGTGGGAGGGTGGCGGGGTAACTGCGGGGTGACTCTCGATGTTTTGTTTGAAGTGGCGTGTGATGCGCTCCATGGTGCGGAGATTCTGCGCCCACGACTCGGCGAGGGAGGAGAAGGAGGCGGGGCACTCCTTGGCTATGTCGGTGATGTACTGCTGCACCACTTGGTCCAGGATCTGCAACTACACAGTCGCAGACACAACGAGCACGTATAGTATGTGTGATTGACGATGGGAGAGACGGCCGGTACCATACCTTGGTGTCGCCATCGTGGTCCCCCTCGCCACCCTCCAGACGACCAACGCTCACACGAGGCATCATCCCGCCCCCACTGCTAAGCCGCGACCTCTCCTTCTCCCTCTCCCCCGCCCCCTCTCGCACCCTCTTGCCCACTTGTGACCCAACACGCTTGCCAACACCCTCTGTACTTCGTCTCGCCGCCTCTGGCCCTTCTCCCCCCAAAGCCGCCGCCTTCGGTCGCCGCACTGGCCGCATGCCAGCCTGTGACGGCGCTGCTGTGCTGCTCGTCAGGCCGCTCGCATGCGAAGGCGATCGCGTGAGGTGCTTCTTGGCCTCCTTCGGCTTGTTCGTCCGGGGAAGGTCTTGCTGCCTGTCCTTCCTCTTGTCGATGAGCGACAGCTGTGCCAAGCTGGCCTGACGACTGAGGCCAGCACCGCCCTTGAGGAATGCCGCCACGGACGAGTGCGCCTCGGACAGCCGTGCGGCCTTGGTGCCGTGGGTCAGCCGATGCGCGGCGATCTCCTTCGCGAGCAGACAGCACTGAAAGAGAGAGGGGGATGGCTCGGGGTGGGCGGGGATGCAGAGGAAGACCACACAGGGCCCTGCGTGTCCTGTGAGGGGGGCTCGGAGTAGGTCCAGCAGAGGGTGCGATGGCCTCGCGTGTTTGCGGGCATCCAGCAATGAGATGACGGCCTCAATGGAGGGAGAAGGGGCAGCAGCGTCCACCGACGAGCTGTCATCGGGCGGCGCCGCAATCTCGACAAACGTGAAATGGAACTCTGTCGACATTTCATTTCATCTCCCCTTGTTGCCTGCCTGTCTCTCTGCTCGCTGTTTACCTCTACTCTGATGTACGATGGTGGCCTGGGTGCGAGGAGGCTTGATGACGACCCTATAGCAGGTGTGAGTGGCGGCCGGGGCTGCCTGTCGCATGCCCGCCGTGTACACGTCGAAGAGGTTCTGCATGTCGCCGCGCCAGTCGTGCCACGCAGCGGCCTCCGTATCCGATGAATCCGCCTGACACATACGTAGCGTAGATGTTGATGCATTCAGATGTAGGTGTATGTATGCTTTCTCTTCTTGATCTGACGTACTTACCCGATACTCAATGAACTGAGCCTTTGCCCGGGCCCCCTGCATGCCGTCCTCCTTGACGGCATCCTGCAGCTTCTGCAGACACCGCGGCACCGCCCCAAACTCCTTTGGCGCGATAGTGGCCCTCTCACCCTCACGCAAGAACCCGCCGCCCAGCGTGTAAGACTTGCCGCCGGCCTGCGGCCCAATCGCCACCACAGTCAAGCCCGTCCCATCCCTCACTGCTCGTCGCACCCTCGCCGCTGTCCTGTGAGCCACGGCCTCCTGCGTCTCGCAAACACCGTCACAGTCAATGGAATAAGCCGCCTTGCCGTCGCTGATGACCGTCAGGCGCTGCCGGGCTTGGTCAGGGTGGACGCCCGGGCCATTATCGTGATGATGGTCGTCCTCATGATGGACCCGGGGAGGTGACGGGCGGACTCTCAGGAACATTTGCAGTGAGGGCGAGGGCCGGCTTCCAGGAAACCGGGTGTTGGGCGGTGTCCGGGGATTAACCGCTTGCCGAACCATAGCCATCTCGACCTTCTAAAAAAAAAGTCACCCGGAGGGAGGACTCCGGGTCGGGGAAAGGAGGCGATCTCGAATCAGGGTTTGTGGGGTCTAGGGTTCTAGAAACCCGGGGGTTCTGAGAGAACATGGGCGAAGAGGAGTCTGCGTACACGCTGACGTTGCCCGACGGCACGGCTCAGCCCAAGTCGCGGGACTTCACCGGGCAAGCCACCGCAGCCTACCCCAATGGCGATACCTACGAGGTCAGCACGGCACGGCTGCATCCATCCCACATCCATCCACCTTTGCCCCTCCTGCATGCCGTCCATCCATCCATCCATTGTCGTGTGATGTGATCTTTCCCCTCTCTATGTGTATCAGGGTCAGTTTGCGGGCGGTCTGCGTCACGGCAAGGGCGTGTACACGTTCAAGAACGGCGATAAGTATACGGGCTTCTTCGAGTACAACAAAAAGTCGGGACTCGGCCGCATCGACTATGCCAAGGGCGGATTCTACCATGGTATGCAGTGCACTGCATCTGTCTGCACCATCTATCTATCTGCAAACGATATAGATCCTATCATTGTGTGGTGTGTGGTGTGGATGGTGTTGCAATGCATCCAGGTTACTTCGTGAATGGGAACCGTGAGGGTGAGGGCACGTTCAAGTACGCCAGCGGGGACTACTACTCCGGCCAGTGGCACCGCGGCCTCAAACACGGCAAAGGCACATACGTCTACCACACCACCAAACAGCAGGTAGCCTGGCAGCCTACACAGACACAGACGCACACACACACACTCAACGACAGACAGACAGACAGACAGACAGACAGACCACAGACGCCACGCACCAAGCCAACACAACACGTGTCCATTTCCATGTGTGTGCATGGCATGTGTGTGTCGTGAGGTGCAGCTGGTGGGTGAGTGGGATAGCGGTTCGTTGTGCAAGGGGCAGTGGGTGTGGCGCGGCGGCCCGCAGTACATCGGTCGGTTCAGCCACAACAAGCCGGCCGGCAAGGGCCTGTGGGTGTTCGCCAACGGGTGCCAGGTCGAGGGCACCTACACCCAGCGCATCCTGCCCGTAGACAACCCACTGCTGCTACCCAAACCCGAGAAGCCGCCCACCGACGAGGGCAAGGAAGAAGGGGAGGCCGGAGAGGAGGGGGAGGAGGCCGCCGCAGCAGCCGCAGCGGCCAAGGTCAAGGTGCTGACGGAGGTGAAGCTCAAGTGGCAGACGGACAAGGTCGCCACACTCAAACCCAAACACCCCTAGCAATAGCATAGGGTGGACAGACAGATAGAGAGGGAGGGGAGAAGGGACGGGGCGGGGCGGGGCGGCAGAGGGACGGACGGCTGCTTAGTGAGTGGATGCATGGCATGGCATGGCATGGCATGGCGGGTGAGTGTGAGTGCGAGTCTGAGAGCAGCTTGTAGATTTGCATGTATGTATGTGTGACTAAGTGACATACAGTACGTACACGTGTGTGTATATATGCACCGGGGCTGGCTTGATTCATGACGTGTGTGCGCTGCCGAATGAATGCCTGCATCTCTAACCCAATTTTACGATCCATCTCTTCCATGCGTCGTGTAGAGCCCAAGAAGCGGGGCGGGTACGCTTCTGCCAAGAGCAGCTGCCGTCCGAGTGCATCCGCCAGCCTCAAGGGCAGGTCTGCCCCACAGCAGCACGAGTCTGCCGGATCTGCCGTGCTGAGGACCGTAGGCGGGATAAGGGAGGGCTGCGGTTATCTCCTGGGTACCTGGAGGCGGACGCACTTCTCGCCTGATATCTTCCCGCAAGGTAGGAGCATGGCGGCTGGCTTGTCCATCCCAGCTGGCTATCTCTTTGTTAATTCCCGTCTGCAGCGTTGAATGGTGCCGGGTCGGTGGCTCATCTGGACGAGTAAGATGCAGAACACAACCACAACTTGCGGCGGCCCTGCGCAAGGCAGCCAGCCACATGTCATGTGCTGTTTGCACTGAACAACCTTTGCAGTCTTGACGCCGAGTATGGCAACGTGTGGCGGTTTGTATTTCTGAATGATGAGGGGCATTTCATCCTCGAGTGCACCAACCCAGGGCCAGGGACAGCCAAGGATAGCGGGGATCATGGGTCATCGGCCTTCCTCACGCCCGACCTCTCCCTCGACCCTCACAGAGGTATTATATATGGAGGCAATCTCGGAGGGAGACGCTCACTCACCGCATCAGTGTGTGTTTGTGCGTATTTCAGGCCGTGCTGCGGTGCTGGAGCTCATTCCCTATCCGCCGTGCGTATGTCACACACGCACTCACTCACTCACTGCATGGTCGTGTTGCTGTGCTGTGCTGTGCGGTGGATGGTGGATGTACGTATTCATTGCATGTAATGAATGCGATGCGCCTGCAGGTTTCGGGAGGGGCCCACGGATGTGGGTCTGATGATCAAGGCGGAGGCGTCGGATTTGGTGCTGTGCAGTGCGGAGAGTACCAAGTCGGTGCACCTCCTCACCCAGCACGAGGCAAACACCACAAAGACCGGCGAGGCAGGTCAGTCAGTCAGTCAGTCAGTAAGTCAGCAAACACAATTAACACGCAGATGCAGACAGACACAGATATATCTTATACACACACAATCGGGGAGACAGAGAGACGGCACTGTCTGTGTGTGTGTGTGTGTGAGTGGTGTTGTCAGGGTGTTGTGGTTGGGTGTACAACATAGCGTGGGAGGCGACCCCTGATGAGGACATCGCCCTCGAGCTCGGCGAGTACGCACACTGAACGAACGAATGGGTGGGTGGGTGCTTTGAATGCACGTAGAGGTAGACAGACTGTTTCAAGTCGACTCGACGTGCGTCCGTATGAGTGAGTTCCCTGTATATATGCCTGCCTGTCAAGCTATGCTATCCCCTCTGTCATGTCATCGGCTGCCTGCCTGCCGGCCTCTCACTCACTCACTCCCTCACTCACGGCTCCTTGCTCTCCTCGCCTCGCGGCACGAGTACCACGCACATAGGGATGCATCGACTCGACACACGTACGGCACGGCACGGCACGCTCACACCACCTCCCTCGTCGACGGACACAGCACACCAAGAGACTCACGAAAAAGACGACAACACTCCACCACATCGCACCAGAGAGCAACCACGCATTGGTCGATTCGTTATCCATTCACGGCAGCAGCAGCAGCAGCAGCAGAAGGCGGCTGGCATTAGCGTTTCCATCACCCTGCCCATCCCCCCCTCTCGAGAGGGGATGTGCGGCCGGCGACGACCACGCCAATGATGCACAGCCGGCCAGCTGCCGCCACGACCCAGCGCGACATGACCGCCCACACACCAACATCCGGTGCACAGCACACATCTGGACCGCTACGGCAAAGGGAGATGGCAAGACTGACTGCATTCAGTCGACCCGACGCCCAACGATCAGACAGAGAGAGAAAGGGATGGGTACACGAGTTAGCTAGAGGGAGTTGATTAAACGCTCTTGCAGCCAGCCAGTCAGACAGCCACCCAGGCATCCATCCATCAAAACGCAGGAGGCAGTCCCTCAGACCCGTCTGCCTCCTCGAGAGTGAGAGATTCGAGCATACATACCATACGTACAGTATATGTGAATGCATTCATTGATATTATGCATAGGCCCAAAAAGCGCCGCCCCGCACGCACACATGGCATCCATCCCATCGCACCAACCACACAGACAGAGCATCGATCGCATCGCCCGTCTCCCTCTCTCTCCGTGTATACAAACCCGCCACGCTAAGCCAGATAGATAGATATACACCACTTCACTGCATCTGTGTACCCGACCTGCTGACTGACTGACTGAAGAGCTCTCACCCTCTACCTCCCTCTCTCTCTCGGACAAAACCATGACGCGCCCCTGTCATTCATCCCTCCCCTCTCTCGCGTACATACATAGTCCAGTCAGACCAAAATTGTGGGTTGGCCCCTGACGGAGTGGGTGAGTGAGGAGACAGACAGACAGACAGAGAGGCAGACAGACGGACAAGCAATACAGTCGAAATACGTTGTGTACATACCTAGGAAGAAAGATTGTTTGGCAGCCAGACCCTCCCCCGTCCCCCCTCTCCTGTCCTCTCTCACCGCTCTCCTCTCTCAAAGAATGAAAGAAAGATGTATGGGATACATACATATGTACACACTCAAACAACGACAACAACAACAACAACAAAAGGCGCAAACCACAAACAAACAAACGTGCCGACCGACCGTCTATGGCTGATGGTAGAGCACCACAGCAGGCGCCACTCGAGCGGGCATTGTGAGGCGGGGGCGGGGGCGGGTGGGGGATGGGAGGGAGGGGTCGAGTCGGCTCTGCTGCTTTGTGGTTGCGGTGGTAGTGGTCTGGTCGGGCACGATGGCGTTGAGGAGGTCCTTGATGTGCTCGTTGATGAGCATGAGGAAGTAAAACGATATGAATCCGCGCGCAATGTGCACACTCATACCTGCAGCAGCAGGGGCAAGAAAGAGATGAGAGGAGCCGAAGGTTGGTGCGTATACGTCGGTGTCTCTGTCTCACCTCCGTAGAGGCCTCTGATGCCCTCCTCGCGAGCCACAAGAGCTGTCGCCTGCCACACATTCCTGAATTAACAAAGCCAGCATACATACCCGGGGGGAAGACAGCAACGCTCACGGACCGCCTGACTGAATGGCCTTTACATTTCCTTCCTTGTTGTGTTTGTCTGTGTGCGGTGCGCATACCTACCGGTATCTGCCTCCCTCGAAGAGTCGTGTGCGGACCACCTCATGGGGATAGGTCGCCAGGATGGCAACCACCTTGGAACACGCCGATGCAAACGATATCTGACCAGTGGACGGACATTATAGCATCGAGTTCACAGCATGCAGTCGTGTCTCGGATAGATCTGTGGATGCTCACCCACCTCGGCCTTTGAGAGCGCCTTGAGGGGCTCCACGCCCTGAGACGCCCGCGACTGATTCTCCCTGCAACGCAACGCAAGGCATAGTACACACACATTCAAACATAAGTTATGGCCTGACATCCATCCATCCATGCCATGCATACGATGCGGTGCACTGAACACGACAGGCACGTACACATTGAGTCGTTTCCTCTTGTAGAACTCGAATGTGTGCCAGAAGACGAGCCCCTCGGCGATGCCAAAGTAGGAGGCCAAGTTGCCCTTGAAGAACCCACGAAGACCCTCGGTGGACCAGATGTTCCGCACCTGACATATCGTCGCCGCCAACCGACCCTGACCCTGACACACAACACAACACAACACAACACACGCACGTGAGACCACTCGCATGGCATAGCATAGCATACACACATACACGACTGACTGACTGCATGGCTGGCTTACTTAACTAACTTACCGCAGTGATGGTGTCGGCTGCCTTTGAAGCGGCCAGCTGGCATTTGGTGCCGACCATGAAGAAGGGGTTGGTGGCCGTGTAGGCACTCAGCCCCGCCACGATGGCAGCGATGCTCGTGGACCACGACCCGTCGCCCAGCCGCCTCAGACAGGCCGCCTTGGTGCCCTCGTACGACGCGAAGTACACTCCCTTCTTGCCAAACACCCCAAGAGACGTCCACACGGACCCCTTCCAGAAACCTTTGAGGCTCGAGGCGTCGTAGATGCTGCCCACCACCTTGGGGATCTGTCTGAGCCCGCCGCCATTGGACTGCAGCTGCGTCCGCACCACGTCGATGGGCGAGCAGAAGACGTTGGCCACGGACGCCCCCAGCCCCCCCGCCACACCGCCCTTGACGAACTTCTTGATCCATGCGGGCGACAGCACCACCACTGTGGCCGGTTCGCTGGTGCGGGGGATGGCTGGAGCTGGCCTCTGCCGACGGGGGGAGGCCGTCGACGCCTTCTCGTCCTTGCCAGAGCCATCCTGCATCCTGAAGGCCCTCTTGATCTTGGATGCGAGGCGGGTCGAGGGCGCCTCGCCGGCCAGGGGGGCGGTGGGTGGTGTGATGACCCTCCTGGCGTGGCTCAGCTGCCGCGGAATGACGTCGAGGAACGACTTGGACGGGGCGGCGTGGGCGGATGGGGCGGCTGACGAGGCCGAGAGGGCGAGAAGCACGAAGGCCAGTGTGAGTGGGCGGGTGTTGTGCTGCTGGCAGCACGACGCTGGCTCCTTCTGGGTGTGAGCGAGGAAGCTCTGGAGGACGACGGGCAGCGAGACTCCACACTGGGCCATGATGATGAGCACCGCCAGGCAGGTGACGTACTCGACGTCAGCACAGATGCCGCACAGGGCCCGCACCAGCCGCTGCATGTCATCGTGCTGTCGGTGTGCGCACGTGGCCGAGGCCGAGGCCGCTGCCGCATCTCTCCTGAACTCAAAATCGTCGACAAACGTCAGGGATCTCATCATGCACCTAGTGGGGACAGAGTCAGTCGCACTCACACACGCGACCTTCACAAAAGCAGGCGCAAGAGGCGGGCGATCGCGGGGGAGGCGTCTGCGAGCTTATAAGTAGCTGTGGCTTTAGCGTCCACATGATTTCATGTTCCGAGTACATCCCGACTGGTGACGATGCAGGCGCCGACCGACAACAGAGGCACTGGAGGCAACCTGCTTCCCCCCTGGCCCACGATACTGCCACGACCGGTGAGGAGTGCCGGCACCGAGAGTGCAAACACCCTCAGAGTCGTGGGGTGGCCACGTGGACTGCAAGTGGACGGCGAGAACATACGTTAGTTAAGATCATTGCAAAGATCCGCCTACGTGCAGCTGAGCTCCCGTGTTTGCTCTGCTGTATGCATGCAGCCGCTTCAACGGGCTTGACCTTTTCCACAGTTACATGGACACTTTTGGAGCGGTATGTATGGTATCATGTGAGCTGCCAATCACAGACATCTCTGTTGGTTGTGTATGTGTTCTTTCTCTGCAGGCGGCCAAGCTGGATCCGACGCCTCGTCGCTGTCCCATTGTGGTGGCGGCGAGGGTGTGCTTGCCTGTCGACCCCGAGCAGGGCGAGATAGTGGCTGATCTGCTGCTGCATGACGAGCTGAGCAGGGAGGTGCTGCTGTCGCTACCCAAGCAGCTGCTCCTTGACGTGGGTGACGACCAGACGTGGGAGGGCAAGGACGAGGCTGAGCGCATCGAGATAGCCTACCATGACGTGTAAGTAAAGCTTTACACACATACCCTGACTGGCTCCCTCCCGCACACCTAGCTACCAGGGGAATCGATCATTCACTCATTCATGTCATGTCATGTGTGCGGTGGGTGTTATGTTTGTAGGGCCACGTCAGCCGTCGCTTCAGAAGGAAGACGACTGACAGACCCCGAAGAGCGACAACGTCAGTCAGTAGGAAGGAGATGAATGACATGTGATGCGTGGGTCTGTCTGTCTTGTTCTCACAAATGCCTTTTGTGTGGCTGGCTGTCCGTGTCACTCATCCTGTCTGTCTGTCTGTCTGTCAGTGGCCCGTCTGATGGAGCCAGATGGCGGGCGCGACGATGCTGCCGTCCAAGTCATCGGCCTGCACAAGCCGCCCGAGTGGGACCTGCCCACCCTGCAGAATGCCATCAACACATGCTTCGAGAGCCTAAACTACGATCTCTACGTGGAGGACGCTACTCCGCCCACAGTGGTCCGCGCCAATGAGGGCGAGGACGTGTGCATGCTTCGCTGCAGCGACATGGACTTCGCGACGCTGCTGCTGCGCATGAGGTGTCTGCACCTGGGGGTGGACCGCGAAATGTGCGGGACGAATGCGAAGCCCGGATCGTCCTCCATCTATGTGTCGGAGACTTACATAGAGCTCATTACGTGGTTGCAGGAGAGGCAGCATGCCATCGATCAGGGACAGACGAGGTGAGGTGAGAGAGATGGGTCCCCGGGGGGCGGAGGGAGGGAGGGAGGGAGGGAGGGAGGGCACGGTGTGTGTGTTGGTGTGTTGGTGTGTGTGCTGTCCACCAGCTATGCAGCATTCAAGCCCTACCTCTGCTTGCCCAAGCTCATCGATGACGGCAGGTGTGGTACACACAACGGCGGGGCGGGCAGCGCAGCGTGTATGGTGTGTATGTTTGTCTGCCTGGCCTGCCTGCATCATTCATTCATTGCATGCCATGGATGGGAGGGATGTGTGTTGATTGGTGTCTGTTTCATTCAGCCGACCTGGGGTGGCACCGAATCATCCAACAGAGCCGGTCGCCCCTCCCCCTCTCCCTCCCCCAGCAGCAGCAGCAGCGGCAGCCAACAGCGACATGGCGGACTCGTCTGACGCCGCCAATCGCACGCCGTCCCCTCCTGCCCCTGCCATGCCCACTGGCCCGCCAGCTGCCCCCCCGCCAGCTGCCCCACCTCTCCCCCCAGCGGCTGACAGCGAGGACACAGAGAGCGACGAAGGACGGGCAGCAAAGAGGAAGAAGGGCCAGGCCAAGGGCAAGGGTAAGGGCAAGAAGGGTGGCCTTGCTGCAGCCACCCGTGCCGCGAACAAGAGTCTGGATCTCCTGGCTGCCGAGCCAGAAGCTGCGCCCAAAGAGAAGACTCCGCCATCAGTGCAGCACAAGGCTGGTCCGTCGGCAGAGCGGCAGCAGCGTCCTGCTATCGTTGCGAAGGCTCCCCCACCGCCATTGCTGCCTTCATCTCCAGCAGCAGCAACCATTTCTCTCCCCACTGGCGCTGTCAGGCCCCCAGCTGGACCCTTAGCTGGCAGGAGGGACAATCTGCCTCTGAAGCAGGGGCTGGGCGCACCTGTGCCGATTGTGCCACCACCCAAACCACCCACAGCCACTGACAATATGCCCCTCGCCGCAGCCGCCGCCGCAGCAGTAGCAGCAAGGGCACGGCCTGTGATGGTGGACAAGGGTGTGCAGAAGGACCACATCTTCATAGAGAAGCTGTCGACCAAGAAGAAGCGGCGGAGGCAGGGTGAGAATGGGGCTGAGGGAGACACGCTCGACGGGCAGCCGCAGGCGGGCGGGGCCAAGACCGCGACGCCGGAGCCAGTCGTGCCACCGGCCAAGAGGCCGAAGGTAGGTGGGTAGCTGGGTGCACGCCACACAAGACCAGAAGCAAGTAATATATGGTGTGACTAGATGTCTGTCTGTCTGTCTGTCTGTCTGTGTACCAGGTTGCTGCGGTTGCACCGCCAGACCATCATGGGTGGGTGAGCTCATTCACAATTAGAAGCCGACAGACATGTGTTGTGCTTGAATGGATGGATGGATGGATGGATCCTTGTGTGTATTATGTGTTGCATTGTGTTGTGTAACGCAGGCCTGGTGCGGGTGGTGGTGGTGCTGCCGTCCTTCTCAATGGCGACCGCCACACCGAAGAAAACCGAAGATTGCGTGACCAGTGAGCCGGCCGCCCACTCATGTGTGTGCTCATCAACGGATGGATCAGCACCGATGCATGCATGTGTGCGTATGTGTGTGTGTGTGTGTGTGTTAGTGTTGAGCGCCTCAAGAAGACATTGGCGGAATCCAAGTCGAGTGTGGCGGGCCAGAAGGCCAAGTACAAAGGTCTTCTCGACCTGATTAAGGGACAGAAGCAGGAGATCGCGGAGCTGCAGGGCTACCGGGAGGCGACCAGCGCCAAGCTGCAGTGCGTCCAGTGTCGCCGCCGAGAGGTACGTAGGTATCACCACCTTTCACCACCCATCTCCTCCCCGTGTGAGTGTGTTGTGTAGATGAGCATCATTCTGCATCCGTGTGGTCACGGTTTGTGTGAGGGGTGCTACAAGGGCATGTCGTCGGTGAGGCCTGAGTGCCCCGAGTGCAGGACGCACGTTGCTCACGCCACTCATATGAAAAATGCATTGGCCGGGGAGGGGAGGGGAGGGGAGGACCTAGCTAGATTGATTAGATTGGGGTCGGTGGCAGGGCCGGCACTTCACGTCACGTGTGCAGTGCATGGCTCTCTTGACTTCCATGTGCGTGAGTGAGTGAAGGGGTTGATTAAGTGCTTCATGGCACGGAGAGTTAATGCGGCGTCCAACTCATGTATCTCAGTCAGTCAACTAACTCTGGCAAATAAGAATTGACGTGGGGTCGGCAGTTAACTAACTGTATCTATGTCAGTCGCTTCAAGCTTGAGAGGGAGGACAAAAACAAAAAGAGAAATGCACCGCGCTCGGCTCGCCACCCAGCCACCCATCCCCTTTGGTTATCCATTCGTTCATGACCTGGTCTTGCCCTTGCCCTTGCCCTTGCCCGCCCCCTTGCCCTTGCCGCGGCCCTTCCTCTTGTCGCCATACTCCTCATCGCTGTCGCTCCGCTCGCTGTCGCTCTCGTTGCCCGACTTCGACCCGCTCGACGACCCGCTGCTGCTCGAGCTGTCCGAGTCACTGCTGCTGGAGCTCTCGCTCGACTCGTCGTCATCACCGCGGCCGCGCCTGCTTCCACTCATCTTCTTGTTGTGCGAATCCAACACACTCTGAATATATAATGAATGAGCCACACATGGGGAGGGAGAGGGAGAGGGAGAGGGAGAGGGAGAGGGGAGAGAGGGTGAATGTGGGGGGGAGGTGGGAGGGAGAGGGGAGACTTGACTTACCTCAGTGAGTCGAAGTCGTTTTCCGTTTTTGTCTTTTCTGCCTCGGGCGGGCCTCTTGCCGCGACGGGGCGGCGGGGCGTTGGCGGCGTCCTGACGCACCTGAGGCAAGCAGGGCAAAGGCAGGGCAAGACACATACATACGTGCCGTGCGTTGTAAGGTAAGAGAGTAGGTGTCTGTCTGTGAGTGTTTGCGCCTGTCTTACAGGCTTGGGCGATGGCTCGGGTTTTGTGGTCTTGTCCCATGCATCCATCACACGCTTGAAGAACAACCTGGCGGGGTGGGGGACGGTACCAGGTGGGTGGATTGTCGAACGAACATGGGGGTGCGGGTGGCTTATGCATGTTATGTGCCCGCCCTTTCATCTCGTTTTTCCTCTCTGACTCACTCTCACTCACTGACCTCTGCCGCTGTGCAGGTGCGGTTTCTATCTGGAGGCTGACTTCGACGTCGTCCGTCCCAACCTCCTGCTTGGTGCAGATCTCTTGGAAATCATTCAACAACTGCAGCCAGCCAAGCCAGCGTATGACATGACATGCGCCCACCCCCACAGCAACGAGATGGGCCCGGCTCGAACCGCATGGCATGGCCTCTGTGTGCCTTTGTGTGAGTGTGTTGTGGTCAGTCACTGTGGCCGAGCCGACCTCTTGGCGTCCCTCGGTGGATAGCGAGTCCATGATGTTTTTGCAGGCAGCGATCTCGGCCTCGGACAGCTTGACCTCGCCCTGCGATGTGGTGCGGTAACTGATGACCGACCGGCTGCCACCGTGCTGACAAACGGATGGAGGGTGGGAGGGTGGAAGGGAGGGAGGGATGCATTCATCAATGACACAGAGATGCACTCACTGGGGTGATCATGTGTATTGTATGTGTGGGGTGTGTGTTACCCACCCACCTGGAGTCCCGAAGCTCTCTCATGGGCCACTGAGGGAGGCATGGGCAGCGCACACATAAAACAACACGTACAGCTACCGTACCGGTTGCATGCCATGCATCTGTCTGTCTGTCTGTCTATGTGTCAGTCAGATGGAGAGAGACAGCCCATGATGTGTGTTTTGTATGTATTATGTGTGTGTGTCAGGCTTACATGCGCCCCTGAACTTGTCGTCGAAGCGCTTCAGAAACTCCCGGTGCAGATCCTGTGGTGACACACGCCCACGGCCGTGCACACACATACATATACGCACATCACATTAATTAACGTACACACAACCACTTGTCCGTCCGTCCGTCCCTGCCATGCCCCCCCGGCATACATACATGTGCGTTGATCCAGAGCTGGTTGTCCAGCGGCACGAAGCGGTGCACACAGTTGAGGGCCTCCAAGAAGTCCCACGCAAACTCGCGAGGCTCGCCGTAGTCGCCACGCTCCAAACGGCTGTGTCACACACACACACACACAGACACACAGAGAGTAGAAGAGGGACGTGTGCACTTTGTTACGTTGCTGGTGTGTCCATCCATATATACATTTTGACAGTGTTGAGGTCGAGTGGGTCATCGGCGGCCTTGCGGAAGTCATCGAGCCGCCCGCCGATCAGCTGGCACAGGTACTGGGCCGACGCGAAGGCCTCGAAGTCCCGGTGCCGCACAAAGTCCCGCCACAGATCCTTGCACTTGACCGTGTCGCCGCCATTCATCGGCGGACCCTGATCGGATCCACACACGTACATTCACACACACCACACACACACACGGGCACTTGACTTGTCCAGATGGATGGGATGGCTTCTCTGCGTCTGTGTGTCTGGTCGTTGCTGACCGTACGTACCGTCCTCTGCGGCCGTTCTTTGTCTCCGATAGCGGGCCACTCGGTGGGGTCGCCCAAGGCCACGAGCGGCGGGGCGGCCGCCATGGCCATACCACCCGGGTCGGCAGCCGCTGCGGCAGCAGCACCCACCTGCCCGTTGACCAGATGCGATGGCGGCTGGCGCGCATACGGCCAGGGGTACCCTAGCGCACCGCCGCCGGGAGACGCCACACTCCCCGCCGGCCCGATCTCGCTGTGAGTGACAGGTCATCAACCCACCGTCACATACACAGACACACACAGACACACACAGACACACACACACAGACACACACAGACACGTAGAAAGGGCAAGCAGAGGTGCGCATCGTCTGGCTGGGGTGGCTGGGCTGGGCTGTGGGCTGGTTGCGCACCCACCTTTTCAACTCTACCATTCCGGCCGGCAGGGCGGGGGCGGTGCCCTTCCTCTTGCGATTGGCTCCCTTGGCAGCCTTGCGACCTCCAACCTGACAGAGAGAGACAGAGACAAACCAGAGCCATCAAGCACCGCACCCAGCCGGCATGATGTGTGTGAATGAATGGTTACCCACCTTTGGCTCCTTCCACGCGTCATCGTCCATGTCCCTTTTGACGCCCCTCGACGTCACCCCCGGCAGAATGAGCTGGTCGCCACCGATACCGATATCGCCCCGCCGGCTCCTCCCCCCTCCCCTCCGGCTGCCCGACGCCGGCGACTCATCCTCATCCTCCGGGGCGTACTGCACTCGCGGGCGGCGCCTCTTGCCCATCATGCTGCCCCCATCATCCACACTCCCCGCTCCCAGTGACGGCGAGAAGGCCGACTGGCTTCCCTGCACGGCCTGGCCCTTGCCCATGCCCAGACCGCCGAGGAGAGGCGACATGGTGGCTCCCGTCCGCTGGCGGCCGGGCGGCCTCAGCTGGACTTCCTGGAAGACGAAGGGGGATCCCATCCTCTTCAGCTGCGCTGTGAGGGCGTCGTACTCGCTCTTGGAGAGCTGGAGGGTGCCCCGCTGGCAGTGGAGGCCGTGGACGGCCGTGAGGGCGAAGGGACGGTCGGCCTTGGCTGCTGGGGAGGGGGACCGCTCGCCGACAGACTCGGAGAACAGAGGAGGGGTGGGGACGGACGCCAGAGGCATCGGATGATGTGGGGGGTGGCCACCCACTGCAGGCACACATCCACACACAGGGACAGATGCATCATCTGTGCGGCGTGAATCATGCCTGTCTCGTATGTGCCATCTCCCGCTGCCCTTGTCTTCTCCCAGCGCACCGTCATCAGCTGCAGCCGATGAGTGTGGTGCAGGGGGTTCATCGGACACCTGGACACACTCCTGCTTCGGCGGAAGGCCGACGACCTCCATAGGGACGTCAGCCATGCTCACGATACGTCTTGATTCACAGGTACAGCAGCGGAGCTGGCATTCGCGCCGAAAACGAGGGGAGTCAACGGTTGACGATGGGTTGGCTACCTAGATGAACGTGGGCCAGTGACTGCCTGGGCTGACACGCTGTTGACGTCGGAAACGCCTAGAGGAAAGTCCCTCAAAGACAATTGCTCAAAGTTGCGAGCTCGAAGCTTTGAAGCCGCTTAGCTCGCGTTGCTTGGCGTTCTCGCTGGTGGAGACGGATGAGCGTGTGTGTGTGTCTGAGATCTTCTCGCTCCGAAGCGTCACGATGATGTTCCAGATGCTGTCAGCCTTCTTTGCCCTCGTCGCCCTTGTCTTCGCTCGCCGCATCAAGGCCTTCGTCGTCCCTGCGGCCCTCCCGTCAGCGAAGGCGTCACCGTCGCCTCATGGTGTAAGGCAGCACGTCCTTGCAGCTGCATCGGTTGATGGCATCAGGACGAGGGTGCTGCAACTGCTCGAGGAGGAACGGCAGAACACGCCGACACAGCCGCCCAAGAAGGACAAAAGAGGAAACCAGAAGAAGAAACAAAAGGTCCGTGTGAATGCCCTGCAGGCATTTCTTCCATTGCATGGTTGCATTGTGTGGGTGCACTGCATGCAGAGAGATGCTACTGGTACGGGCGAGAATGACAAGGCCGTGAGGGGCGAGAGGGGCAAGAAGCTGCTCATCGTGGGGCTCGGCAACCCTGGTTGGCATCTTATCAGCAGGCCTGTCGCATCCTCGTCAACACATGTGTGCATGTATTGCATGTCCTTGCTGCAGGTCCGCAGTTCGCTGGCACGCGCCACAACGCAGGCTGGATCGCAATCGACGCCATCGCCGCCCACTGGGGCGTCACCATGAAGAGCGACAAGAACTTCTTGGGTCAGTTCGGCTCGACAAGTCGACACGGCCGGATGGTGTATCTGCTGAAGCCCACCACAATGATGAACCTCTCTGGCGGGGCCGTCAAGAAGGTGCTCGACTCGTACGGCCTGCCGTCGCATGCTGTGCTCGTGCTGGTCGACGAGCTGGCCCTGCCCCTGGGCGTCCTCAACATCAAGCAGAGAACCAACCCCGGTGCGTTCCTTCACACCCAGCCAGCCAGCCACCCAGCCAGACAGACAGAGGGCGGGACGGAGGGAGGGAGGAGAGAGCAGTGCGCTTGCTGGCTGGCATGCTACAGGCACGCACAATGGTCTCAGGAGCATCAAACAAAGGTGAGTGAGTCGGTGATCGACACAATGAGCATGTGTGTGTGTGTGTGTGTGTGCGTGCAGTTTGAGGACGGATGAGTTCTCTCGCGTGGCGCTGGGCATCGGGGGCGACAGGAAGGCCAAGGGCGGCACCGACTTCGTCCTCGGCAAGTTCACAAGAGCCGAAAGGGACGCATTCGACGAGGTGCATACGTTCACCTGCAGATTGCCTCGCATGATATGTGACTGGCCGGCCTCTGTGTTGTGTCTCTTCGTGTCTGCAGGGTCTGGTTGATCTGCAGGGCGTGGTTGATGACTGGGTGGCTATCGACAATATTCCCGAGGTGCAGAAGCGCCGCCAAAAGAGGCGAAAAGAATCGGCGAAAAGCGTAGCTGCCTAGCCTAGCTGGGATGTGAGAGCGACACTCCTTTGCTCCCTGAGCGAAGCAAGGAGGCAGGCAGCCGTCGCGGTGTGTGTAAATATGGGAGCATGTTGATGACAGACTGGGTGGCGTGACCTGACCCATTGTGTGTGTCTGATCGAATGTGAATACGGACGGTAAGTAACGGGTCGGTCGGTCGGAGTACGGTAGGTACGGTGTCCGTCACAATCCGCAGATACGCACCCCAGCACGGCACATACACAACACATGCATTGATCGATTGCAACCAGTACCATGGCAGGCGATTCGTCCGGCATGGCATCCGTCCGTCCGTCCGTGCGTCCGAGTCATGCATCCCATCCAGTCATGCAGTGCACGCACTGCAGGCACACGCACTAGCCAGCCACCAGAGACATAGATACCATACATGTCATGTACACCACACAAGACACGAGCCCACCCATGCCATGCATGTATTGTGTGCACGGAGGAGGGAAAAATACAACTAAGTCAGTTAGACAGGGAGCAAGCACGCAGGCACCATCCATCCATCCATTCGCCCCACACGTATGGAGGAGAGGACGCCACGCCCCTCCGCACATGACCTGACATGACATGACATGACAGGCAGCCGACGGCCGACAAATGAAACGAACCCGCGCCATTCATTCCGCCCCGCCCCGCCCCGTCCCGTCCCATCGACTCGACAGAGAGACAGACACATCACATGGGCGGACGGTAAAAGAGAAAGGCCACACAGATAGTCACACAGAGCTTATCCGTGGCATGCAACACGTTACGTAACAACAAGTCAGTCATGTCGTGTGTGAGAGTCTCTCAATTGTGTGTTTGTGTGGGGACGGTACGGATTTCCGCACCCATCTATCCAACCATCTAGACAGCCCGTAGCAATACGGTGTGTGAGTGTGTGTTTGGCTTGACGGTGGGTTGATGTACGCAGCGTGCATGCACATCGGCCGGCCGTGGCTGAGCGAGTTGGTATGCAATGCATGCACACCCCACACACGAGCAAAAGCAAGGCAAGGCTGTCTCGATGGACGGACACATGTCAGTCGATGGACACATGGAGATGTATTCATTGCAATGGTCTGGCTGGCTGGCTGTACGGACGGTAAAATGACTGACTGACGTACCAATCGGAATCGACGGCTGTGCTGTGCTGTGGGTGACTGGACTGGACGGTATAGCGGCATACCGGCAGGCAGGCAGGCAGCAAAAAGCAGTCGTTGCACATTCATTCATTCATCATTCCTTGCGCCGCGACCGACAGCCATACATGACGAAAACATCCCGACATACATACAAGTACAGTAAGTACATATGTGTGCACCATACCAACCCTTCGCATCGACAGCCGAATGTAGTGAGTGCCCCCGCCCCAACCAACCCAGCCCCCCAACATACATAACATGTACATGCATGATCGACTGACGTCTGTACGTATGTATGTATGTATGCAGCCAACCAACCACACCCACACACAGTGTGTGGTGCGTGTGTGTGTGTCTGCAGCCAGGACGGTACGGTACGCACCCACGGAAGGGAGTAAGTGAATAACTCCATCCATCCATCCAAAACAGCTATCGGGCATTCGCGCACAGGACCCAATCGAGCATCATCAGCCAGCCGGCCGGCCGGCCGGCCGGCCAGGCACCCACTTACATTCATTCATTCGCACATAGAAACATGTAGACGGGCAGACATCCGATCCGATCCGCCAGACAAAGTAGATAGACACATACATACATACACATGAATGCACACATACACACATGCGTACCGTGCGTGTAGCAAGCAGACGGGAATGAGGGGCCTGGCCAGAAGGAGTGAGTGAGTGAGTGAGTGAGGAGGGGATCCCGCCAGGAAAAATACAACCACATCAGCAGACGTCATGATTTGATGCATACATAACCACACCCAGCATCCACCAACACCATGCCACGTACAGACACACCCAGCCATACAGCCATACAGACAGACAGACAGACAGATGAACAAAACCGAAAAACGTCGCTGGCGTGTCATCCATTCATTCCTTCCTTTCTTGACCATCCAGTCTTGTGCGGCCATCATACAGCGACACAGCCATACAGCCATACAGACAGACAGACCGCCCCCCATTATCACCCACCCCACCCACTGCTCTCTGTATTGACACATCCCTCACTCACCAAGCCAAGAAGAGCCCCCGCTCCTCCCCAAGGCAAGGCAAGGCAAGACAAGAGTGTGCGGATCGATGGCTGCGACAACGTATTGCGTGTGTATGGCTGGTCATTTCATGATGTGTCTGTCGTGGATCCGGAAGTAGAGAACCCTCCTCCTTCCCTCGTCCATGCAGGAGTGAATGAAAGACGCATTCGTCGAGCACAGGCAGGCAGGCAGGCAGGGGCGCCGGTACAAATTGGACCAGCGCGACGGACGGACGGACGGCAGGGATGTCTGTGTGAGTGAGTGACAGAGAGAGTGGGGCGTTGCCCACTCGAGCCAAGGACACTGACTGACGCGCACGCGAGCGGGATTACGAGACAGACGAGACGACTCCTCTCTCTCTTGCCCTCGGTGCGTGGTGAATCGTGTGTGGTGGATGATGGATGGATGGATGGATGGTTGGTTGTGTCGCGTGTAAGTGTGTGGGTGAGTAGGAAACTCTCTCTCTCCCTGGCTAAACTGAAAAACGCCCCCAGTCATCACTTCCCCTCCCTCCCTCCCTCCCTGCCTCTCTCTGATGCTCTCTCGGATGACCCAGTAGGGTGTTGCGCTTTGGGTACACACGCACACACAAGAATGCATGGCATGGCTGCCTCGATGGATGTCCTTATGCAAAGAAATAACCTATCACGTACTGGTATGGTTGTGCATTCATTCATTCATTCATGGTGCGTATGGTAGGTATGCAGCCGCAGCGAAGCGAAGCGAGACGAATGAATCGACGTACGTACGTACGTACGTACGTGACACGCAGACTTCTCGCACGCAGAGTGGGGAAAACTGGCCTGTCTGGCCTCAGCAGACGCACGTACACGTAGCAAGCACGACATAGACATACAGCAGCAGCAGCAGCGGATGAATGAATGAATGCACCAATAAAATTTCTCGATCGGCCTCCCCCCCTCCCCCCACACGACACAGCGAAAAATCTCTCACGTAACCGAATGTATGCAATGCAAGAGACTTCCCCTCTCCTCTCCCCCGCGCACACCACACCCACCCAGACACCCAGCAGAAAGAAGACAGGAGCTAGACGGTCGCCGTACGTACGGATGTGTGGATCTGTGTATGTATGTGTGTGTGTGCTTCAATACATTACATTACATTACGTGTGCCTGAGCGAGTATGTAAGTATGTATGGGTGCGGGAGAAACGAGTGGCGGAGTTGCATGCACGCCTGCCTGGGTCGAGAGCACGCAGCACAAGAAGAACAAGACGAAACACTACAAAAATGCCGACAATCCAATCAGTCAATCACTCAGTCACTCAGTCAGTCAGTCAGTCGACAACGCACAGACAGAGTGCCCGTAAGTAACCGAATGCAATGCATGGCTGCAGCCCTCCACTCTTGAAACATACAATCAACCAACACGGGAGGGAGGGAGGGACCAACGACCGACCGGCCGACCGACAAACGAAAATCGACCGCGCCACACACACAGACAGACAGACAGTCAGAATCAGAGGAAGAGAGTGCCGCCTACCGCCACATCAGTCCCACACGCCACGCTTACATCAATCAACAGGCAAGTCGGCATCCATCCATCCATCCATCCATCCATGAGCTCCCCTCCCTCCTCCCTCTCTCCCTCCGGCCCGCCCGTCCCCTCTCCGCTCGGCAAAAAATCTCCCTCGCAGACGAGTAGGCACGCATAGCATAGCATAGCATACAGCACACCACAGCACACCATCACACACGATTGAGTGCAGTCGCCGAGGCGTCACGCAGACATACACACGCACGCACGCACACAAGACGGACAGACAGCCACGCCCCCTTGTCTCCCTCCCTCCCTCCCTCTCCCTGCTTACACGTTCCGTGTAGTCGTCGCTCGGTGCCCTCTCGTACATGCAGCCACGCAGACACCAACATGCAGGAGGCAGGCATGCCACCATAGGTAGATCATTACCATGCAATCAATGCATTCTGTCATTCAGTCAGTCATGCAGGTGGACAGTAGCTAGTCATCTCTCTCTCTCTCTCTCTCCATCCCTCGCTCAGGCGTGGCGTGCATGTGATGTGTGTCTTGTCTGGTGTGTCTCAATCATCTGGTCTCTGGTTGTTGTGCCACAGACAGTGAGTGGCATTGCATTCATTAGTCATTCACTCGCACATGAGCGATAGGAGAGCAGCCCCAAGACATGACGGGCTAGACATCTCTCGGACGTAGCGTTAGTCAGTCACCTCCACACTGATTTGTCCCGACCCCTCACTTCCACCCCTCACTCAGGAAAAAACCAGGCCACAGAGCATCAGACACAGGCGCATACAGGCAGGAGACACGGATGGCATGGCGACACACATGCACGCGTCGTGGATGGATGGATGGATGGGGGATGGTGTGGTGTGGTGTGGTGTGGGTTGAAAAACTGCTCGGTGTGGGTGTGTGAATCGACGAGTGCACAATGCACTCACCAGTCCATGCATCCATCCATTCCTGGAAACGGATCTCTCCACTCACTCCACTCCGCTCCAAAAGAGAGAGGCCATCCAATCCGTTGACAGCACAGCACCCCTTCCCTCCTCGTCATGCACCGCACCCCACCCCCACATCACAGTTATCATGACATTGACATGTACGCATGTGTATGTATGCAGCAACACACACCACACCACACCACATCCCACCACCCGGTTGAAAGAGAAAGCAGAAACGCAGATAGACAGGACGACAGACAGACAACCGACAGTTAGACTAGCTAGCCAGAACTGCATGCACATCTCCCTCACTGCTTTGCTTGCTGTCCGCCCCTCCCCTCCCCTCCCCTCCATCACCTCACCCGATCCACCCACCCATTGCTCTCTCTCCACCACACATAATAGTACAGTGCCGTCCACAGGCATCCCTCCCTCCCTCCATCGATGTCTCGGTGCAAAACGCGTCCGTCTGTGGTGAAAATGGCCCCGCTCGCCCGCTGCCCCCCTGCACTGCACGGCATGAGGGGGGCAGAGGCCGACCGACCAACCTACATGGAAAAGACGGACTGGACTGTCTCGTCGTCGTTGTATGCATCAGCGCATCGCATTGGTTGCATCTCTCTCGGGTCATCTCTCTCTCGCCCTCCCTCGCTCCCTCGCTGATCTGGCCCGCCCCTCTCCGCCTGTCTGCCGCATTGGATGGTTCATAAGATAAGGCACGCCACGCCACGTCACGTCACACTGGTTGGTGCATGTCGACACCATTCGGGATGCATTACGTATGAGCCGCGGAAAACCCCAAGCAAGGCCGCCTGACCTGACCCACCCATTCATTCTCTCAATCGGATCGCCTCTCTGAGGCACACACGCACAGCGAGCGACACACAGGGATGGATACCCAGACAGACAGACAGACAGCACACGGCACACGGCACACACTTACTTGTCACGGTCACCACATGACATTTATCGCATGCATGGCAGATAGATAGATAGCAATGGGTTGATGATAAGTCGATAGATAATAGGTGGATGGAATGGAATGGAATGGAATGGATGAATGGATGTCCATTCATTCTTCTGTTCATTCAGTCATTCAGTCATTCTTCACGAATACACACGGCCAGACAGACACATGCCTGCCATGCCGCTCACATGACTGTGCGGCAGGGCAGGGCATGCAGCACGGCCGGCGATTGGAAGAAAAATACACGCAGACAGACACAACACACGACACAACACACGACAGGCAGGCAGGCGATAGATAATAGGTAGACAAACAAGACTGGCAGGCAGGCATCACATGTCGATGGGCGGCACAGAATAGCATGCCATGCATACGCAGCATTGTATGTATGGCGTAGGGTAGCAGCAACTAGAACCGACCAAGGGGCCGGGGAGGGGAGGGGAGGGGTAAGTAAGAAGCGGGAGAAAAGCGCAGCGACGGCAACGGGGCATCACGGACACACGTGTGTCGTGTCGATCTATGCAGAGGATGAACATCGACTGTCTGACCGATCGGCAGGCCTCTATCTTAGCCACAGGTAGGTATGCGGCTGTGTGGACGAGGGGCGGACAACATGGACGCACAGACAGACAGGCAGGCAGACAGGCAAGCAGCAGGCCAGCGCTCACGGTCACGGACATGCATCTCTCTCTTTGTATGGGCTGACTCTGATCGATCGGTCGGTTCAAATGACAGCCAAAACATCATCCATCGCTCCACCCACAGTTGCCCCTGTCGCCCTCATGCGTCACCATCCCCTCCTCGCACGCACACATGCATTGCATACACAGACAGCACGGAAGCCAACACGGCAGCCAGGCAGTCAGCAGCAGCATCCATCGAGAGAGTGGCACGGAACGACGGGTGAGTGAGGTGAGAAGAATGAATGACCTTAGGGAAAAAACCCAACCTCGCTCAAAAAGCGAGCATTGCAATGCATTGCCAACATGCACGCCACGCCACGCCACGCACAGAAACCCAGCACCTAACCTCCAGCAGTCACTCACGTCACCCCTCCCTCCCTCCCTCCCTCTCCGGCTCTCAGACGCTCCATCGCTCCATCGCTCGCCTCTCACTCAGGTGTACACGCACGACTCACTCGTGTCTGTCGTGCCGTGTCTGTGTATGTATGTACTTACAAGACTTGTGTCTCAAGAATGGCTGTCTATGGTCGATTCGATCTAAATGCACGTGTGGCTGTCGCTCGCTCATACCTCACTCAGTTGCTCTCTTCGATCTGTCTTCACACAGAACTCTGGCATGCATGCTTGCTGTGTGTGTTGCCCGCCTGCCGTCAAAAAGGCCCCGGCTGCCTGGCTGCTGGCTGTCTTGTCTGTCTGTCTGTTCTTGTCGACCGGCAGATCCGCACCACCCAGTCCACACAGCGAGCAGCGCTCCCTCTCGTGTGTATATACCTCTCTCGATGCATGTCACGCCATGCGTGCGTGTGTATGTATATGTGTGTGTGTGGTGGGTATGGTTGAGGGGGGAAAAGGAAGGCTCGCTCGCTCGCTCCTTTGGGACGGCGGATGGGTCATTCATTCAGGGACAGACGGACAGACAGACAGCAACAGCAACAGCGGTGCCGATTCTCACTCATAGCACATGCCATGCACACGTACATGGAGACGAGCAAGAAAGACGAAGGAGCAGAGTGGTAGAGAGGCGAGGGAAAGGGGATAGAGAGGGCAGGGATCGGTCGGTGCTGTGTTGTGCTGGTGCTGTGCTGGTGAAGTGTCGATCGATCACAAGACGGACAGACAGACAGACAAACATGAAGCCAGCCATGGACACCGGGAGAAAAAGCAACACACAGCACCGCACGCCAGGCAGCCAGCCAGGCAGCCAGAGTGCAAGAAGATGACCGCCCCATGGGAAAGCCAGCCAAGCCAGGCCAGGCACAGACCGATCAGACATGCAAGCAGCGTGAGCTGATATCAATCAGCATCGACATGCACCATCCATCCATCCATCGATACATGACATGTAAGTGAGTGTGTGTGGTCGTCATCCATTCATCCATCCATCCATCCGTTCATTCGTTCATTCATTCATTCTTCGTATTGCACGTTGGCGGCGGCCTTCAGCAGGTCTTCGGTCACGGTGGGCATTGGCACGGGAATGGGCAGCGGCATCGACAGCGCCCGGTACTCCTCCATCCCGCCACCGCCCCACATGCCGCCCCACCCGTCTCCCCCCTGGTTGCCCTGTCCGTACCCGAACTCGCCGCACCCCATATTGTGCATCCCGCCGTACTCCATGCCCCAGTCGTCCATGCCTCCACCATGCCCCTGGTGCTGGGGGTGCATGTAGCCGCCGTGGTGGGGCTGCATGTAGGGGTAGTAGGAGGCGTTGTCGTAGTAGTGTGCGGCCGCGTGGGCCTGGGCCTGGGCGTGGTGGTGGTGGTGGGCGAAGGCGGACGAGTCGTTGAAGTCACTGATGCGGCGAGGGTAGGGGCCGTGCTTGTGGGAGGGGTGGGGGAAGCGGCCGCCGCGGTGGTGCCTGTACCCGTAGCGCCATGAAGAACCGTAGCCGTGATCCTGACACGCACAACACACACACACGCGACAGCAGCACAGTACGTGACTCAGTGTTCACTCCACTCACTCCCAGATTCATGTGTGTTGCCTGCCTGCCTGCCTGCCTGCCTGCGTCACCCCGCTCCCTTTTCTCTCACCGACTTACCATGGATGCAGCTCTGTGTCCGCGCGCCATCTGCCAGTCGTGTTCGGCTAGAGCCTTGACCACCTGGATGCTTACTTCCTCGCCGTCGCCCTCACCATCGGCCTTGTCGACAGAGATGCCCAGGCTCTCCAGCGACAGCGGGCGGAAGTTGGGTGGGTGGGGACCCACGCCACCCTCCTCCTTGTCGCTCGCCGTCTCCTCTTTGTCGTCCTCTTGCTCGTCGGCCGACTGCTCCTGTTGGCGCTTGTTGTCGGGCGAGCTGACGGGCGAGTTGCTCGACGAGTCGCTGACGCTGGTGGATGTGGAGCGGAGGGAGAGGGAGGGCTTGGGGGCGGGGTGGGTCTCGCTCTTGGATGAGGGGGAGGGGGACGACCCGGTGGTGCTCTCAGCACTGTCGCACGCCACAGTCGACGCCACGGACATGTTGCGGTTGCGCAGCAGGTCAGACGCGGCACCGCCGTCACTTGGCTTGTCGCTGCTCTCGTCGGCCGCCGGCTCGTCAGCACCCTGCTCCTGTCCGTCGGTGTCCTGTTCATCGTCCTCCTGCTGCTGTTGCTCCTTGGCATCTTGCTCGTGAGGGTGGAGTGGGAGCAGCACGTCAAATGCCGGCGGGGTGGCGGGTTTGGTGTTGGCGGTGGGGGTGGCGGATCGGGGTGAGGGGATGGAGAAGAACGAGGCGGGGGAGGATGGCTCCTTGAAGCTCTTCGAGTCCTCAACGCACTCGGGGTGGTCGCGGAGATCGATCCACGCTGAAGAAACAGAAACCACAACCACCAAGACGTATGGGCACGGCGCATCCCTTTCTTTCCTTGTGTGTGAGTCGAGCTGTGTCTTACGTGTCTGTCTCTCATTGTGGGTGTCAGGCGATGCATCGATGGCCGTCGAGGGCGTCACGTCGCTCAGAGTGATGGTGGTGGTGGGGCGGTCCTTCTTGCTTGGCGTCTCGCACCCCTCGAGCTCACCGGACCTCTCACGCTCGGGCTCCATCGTGTCGGACGACCCGCACACACCAGCAAACGCACCATCACCATCCTCGGCCGTCTTGGAAGCAGCGGCCGTGGGAGTGCTGTCGTCGTCGTCCTTTTGCTCCTCCTGCGGCTGGGAGGGGACGATCTCTGCCTCGGCTTCTGGCTCGGCAGACACGTCCTCCTCAGGCACGGGCTGCTCGCCGTCTTTGGGTGCCTCGCCGTACTCCTCTTCCTGTGCCTTGCCGCCCTCATTGCAGCCCTCGTGCTGCTGCTCCTGCTGCGCGAGGCCGAGCATGCGCGCCAGCTCCGCCACCCATGTGGCATCAGCCGTCGGCTCGGTGTCGTCCATCTGTCCCTCCTGCTCCTCGTGAATGGTTTCCTCGTAGAGCAGGCCCTCGCACTCGCGGCCCGGCCCCGCGGGGGGCCCGTATCCGTTGATGCTGTCGGCGGTGCTGCAGCTGCGGGAGCGGTGGGGATACATGGGGCCCAGCATGTCGGCCACCACGTGGTCTGCGGGGCCGCAGCCCATGCCAGGGAACTCGCCCCCGTAGTGCATGGCGGCGTCCATGTCGGTGAAGGCGCCGGCCATGTTGATGTCGGCGCAGTTGATGGACGCCGATCGCATCTTGCCGTGGTGGCCGTATCTGTGTGGGGCGTAGGGCGAGGCGAACGGCGGCAGCGAGTCGAACGAGCAGCCGCGGGAGGGCGGCCCGCGGGGGTTGAAGTACTTCTGCTGCTGCATCTTCTTGAGTCGCATCAAACGCTTCTGCTTCTCGGATCGACGATACCTGGACGGCAGCAACGGAGAGAGAGACGACGGCAGGGCGTCAGGTGGTGTGCGTGTGTGTGCGGGTGTGTGTGTGTTGGGTCTCACCTTCTGTCGCGGAGTTCTTCGTCGCCGTGGGCATGCCTGCAGTACTCGCCCAGCGGACACGCACCATCTGCAAATCATAGCGGCACACATTGGACACACGAGCGAGATCGATGAATGTCAGTCATCTGTGTGGCTCGTTCACCTTTCTTGAAGAACTTGCACATGGTCGTCTTGTAGTAGTCGTCGGTGCACCGCAGCTCCGCCACACCGTGAGCAAACTTGCCTGCGATGCATGCAATCCAATCAACACACACAAGGCATGACCGCCATGCGCGGCAAAGTGGTGTTGCTTCCTTACAGTCTCTTCGGTTGCAGAGTCCCCGCTCCCATGCCTTGCAGAGTTTGGTCTTGTAGAGATCGACCGTCTCGCGCAACTCGTCCTCGGAGTGGGCGTACGTGCAGCTCTCACCCTTCAGGCAACGACCCTGACCAGAGCGAGGGAGTCAGTGACGACACGCAGCCATCGCTCAAGATGCATTTGCTTTACTCTTCTGTCGCACGCACCTCTAGGAAGAAGGGGCACATCTTGGTCTTGTAGAACTCTGATGATTGACTCATTCATACACATCGCACACATCACACGCGTCGCAAACAAGCAAAGCACAGACACAGACACATGGGACAGACAGTCAGACAGTCAGTCAGTCATCGGTGGCTCATCCGCCCGTCTCCATCAGTCAGATCTCCCCACCCCTCGTGTGCTTACGGTCTGCCGGAGCGCCCCCGCTCTGAGTGCCATCCTCAGAGTCACCGCACACCGAATACGCGGACATGTCGCTGTCTGTCGCACAGCAGGAAAGGCCTCTCGGGATTGATTGAGTCTCTGTGCGTATGGGTTTCCGAGCCACACACGCCCGTCCAAAGTCTTCCCTTAGCAGAGATCTGAGTTTACGCTGACTGGCAAAGCTCGCAGTTGAGATCTCCAGTCCCAGCGTGAGCGCTCGACGACACCACCAGGATGAAGGTCGCCCTCACATTTGCATGTGCTCTCGCGCTTTGCTCCTCTGCCCTCGGTGAGCACTGCACGGCAGCGGACCACAAACGATGACTGACATGGGACGAAAGCAGCACTGCCGAGCCGGAAAGCACAGCAACTTGTGCATCGCGCATATCTGTGTCTGTCATGTGTGCGGCTTGTCATGTCATCCATCTGTTGGTCTCTCAGGTGGCGAGGAGACTGCATTTGTCGGCGCACCTGCGCGCCTCGGCGGTCTCCGAGCCTCACGCAGTCCCTCAAGGCAAGTCACAACACAGACACATACACCTCACAATGCAAAGTCATCTGGTCTGTGTGCCTCTATGTGTGCTCTTTGCGTGTTCATTGCAGGACGATGCAGATGGCCCTTGATCCCTCTTTCGCTGGTGGCCTGGTCGGCAACGACATCGATGCACCCAACTTGTGAGCACGGCACACTCAGAGAGAGAGAGAGAGAGAGAGAGAGAGAGGGTCAGATAATCCATTCTCTCTGTTGCTGTTGGTGTGGTCTTCCCCTCCCTCTCCCTCTGGCTCTCAGCGACCCATTGGGTCTGTCCAAGACGGCCGACGATGAGACGCTCAAGTGGTACAGAGCGGCTGAGCTCAAGCACGGGCGTGTGGCGATGCTGGCGGCGCTGGGATTCCTGGTGCAAAACATCTACCAGCTGCCCGACAGCCCCTTCCAAGAGGCGAACCCCATCAACGCCGTCTACAAGCTATGGAGCGAGCGGCCCCTGGCCATCATGCAGATCCTCACCGCCATCGCGGCCATCGAGGTGCTGGGCAACCAGGTGCAGCTCCAGACGGAGGACGGGGGCGACCTGAAGTGGGACCCGCTGGGCATCAAGCCCAACGACCCTGAAGAATTCCGCAAGATGCAGCTCAGGGAGCTCAAGAACGGACGGCTGGCCATGATCTCCGTCCTCGGCATGACGGCACAGGAGGCGCTCACCGACCAGGGTCCCATCGACCAGATCCTCACCGGCAACGTCAACCCCTTCTGAGCTCACTCGAGGGCGGGTGGCAAGAGGAGAGGATAACAAGACCGAGAGAGAATGACGCGGAAAGAAGGGGTGTTTTTGGGCGTAGTGGTGCGAGATGTGGGCCCCCTTCTTGTGTGTGTGTGTGTGTGATGGTGGTGTGGGTGGTTCGCTGGGGGACCGCCGCTCATCGGATGTGAATATCGATCCAGGTGTGGTCGGTTTGCCAACGCAGTGTTGCACTCTATCATGATAGACTGGCTGCCTGACTGACTCACCCATTCATTCCTTCATGACGGATTAATTTTTGCATCTTGTGGTGCAACACAAGGTTGGTTGATGCAGTCGGGCGAGCCCCCCATCTGTGAAGCAAATCCGGCAGTCCCCTCAGGCTGCGTACACAAGCACATACATAATCACGTGTCTGTCTATCGACAAGCGACAAGCGAACAAAGGTAGCAATGATTATCACACGAATAAATAAATAAGCTGGAGAGGAGAAGCCCACGCACGGCACGCCATCATGCGATGCGATCAGACAGACACAGAATCAAAACTGCTGCTGACAAGGAGACTCGCCGGACACTCATGCACCCGCAGCGTTTCCACACACTACCATGGCACCAACCAATGGGGGAAACGCATCTCTCTCCATCACGCAAACGACCATGCGACAACCCACCCCACGCCTCACCCCAGCCCACAGCGCTATCCCCCCCAGGCGGCATCTTCGCCTCTCCTGCCCTCCGCGCCCTCATACACGCCATCCGGCGTCACCACCCAGTCGAGGAACATGTCGAGGGAGTCCATCGGGATGGTCGCCAGCGGCAGCAGCTGCTCGCGGAGGCCGATCCCGATGGTCGTGGTGCGAGGACGGCCACGATCCTTCAAAGAGGCAAACAGACGCGCGAGGAAGCAGTCGTAGTAACCCTGCAGACAATACACACATGCACGAGATGAGGTGCGTGAAAACATATATATGTGCGCCGCATCTGTCTGTACCTTTCCGTGTCCGAGTCTCCTGCCGCTTTGGTCGAATGCCACCCCGGGGCAGATGACCAGGTCGATGTCACCGCAGTAGGTGCCATCCTCCCTCCGGAGCGTCTCGTCCAGAGAGAGCTCTGGGATGCCCCAGGGCGACATCGGAAAGGAAGATATCTCATCCACACTACTCACCTGAATGAAGACAAACCCAGCCACACACACACACACAAAAAGGATAGACATGGTGGTTGGCGAGCTGGCTGGATGGCTCTATTGTGGTGTGGCTACGTGTAGCGAGCGTACCTCGACCATCCTCATATCAGGGGGGTTCTTGCCCACCACCCTCGGCACGAACACCCTCTTGCCCTGACGGAAGGCCTCACGCACCAAGGTGTGCGTGTCTATCTCCCCGCTAGGCATGGAAAGGTAGACGCACACGCATTGGCTCCTGACGAATGTCGGATGCTGCGAAAGCTGCGCGAAGACAGCGGCCGACTGCGGTTCAATCGACTCGTGGGACAGCGACTTCAGCTGGCCGCGGACCTGCCTCCTGAGGGCCTTCTTCTGCTCCGAGATGGCAGATACTGACGTGGCACCGGGTTGCACGTCTGACGTCGACACTGACGCACGAGCAGACGAAGGGGCGTGCGGCGGCGACATGGTGGTTCGCGACAGCGGACCGAGCTGTTCGAGTCCTCTACGAAGGCCGCCACCACAGCATAAGTACCCCAGAAGAGGCAGGCGCATCCATCCGGCCGTCGCTCTTTTTGCGAGCTGTGTGTGTACGGAAAGGGCACCCAACGGCTCTGATCGAGGTGACCAGCAGCAGGGGGGGAGTCAGAGCTCCATGCGCTCCACCAAAAGCTATGCTCAAGCCCCGTGACATGTATCGTAGCTCCATCCACCGGTCCACAAGGTCCAACACTCAGCGCAGCGGCTGCTGATGTTCGGTGACTTTGATGCTTCCTTGCTGTGTCTGGTGTAGGTTCTTCTCATGCTGATTGATGAGGTTGTGATTCTCTCGCTGGTGACGGTGGAGCTCTGCCGCCACGTTCCCGGGCTGGTGAGATCTGGTGTCCGCATGCAGCGGAGATTCTTTGATAATATCGACGTGCGGGCTGCAACCACGACCGACGCTGTCGAGAAGCTATACCTGGTGCTCGACTTCTAAATCGGGCGGCCCCACGAGATGAGTCGTCCGGTGGGATCGTCAGGAGAGGGCCTCTGTGAACAGGACGAGCAGACAAGACGGTCAGCAGGGCCGACGCCACGCACAGCAGAGGCGCCCTCCGCCACATCTCTCTTCATCCGCAACATCCTCAGCCCGCTGTCGTTGGGCTTCATCAGGAAGCATCCGGAAGCAGATCATACCACCGCAGATGGCGACAGCACCACGGCAGGGCCGCGAGAAAAACCGGTGGCGGCACCCACACCGAGCGCGGGTGACGCTGCCACGTCGGTGGGGTCGCCCGACGCATCCACCAGGACCACTCGCACCCCCACCACCCTGCCCCCCTCCCGCTCGGCCGCCTCCCACCTTCCCACCCCCTCCCCATCCACAGGCAGGAGCAGAATGGAGGCAGGGCAGCAGACCACACGCAGCTCATCGCAGGCCACGACGCCCACCACCACCACGCCGACCACGCAGCACGTCGCCCTGAAGCCCAAACCGGGCAGCGGGCGGCGGAGGAAAGGCACTGACGTCGGGTGGATCGGGTGGCTGAGGCGTTTGTTCAAAGGCGACAGACGGCAGCGGTGCTTACGCATATCGGGAATCGTGGCTGCGGTGCTGTTTCTGCTCATGGGGATCGGGGCGATTTTGTTTTTTACTGTCGGGCTGACGCCGCTGGCCCAGTCCATAATTGAGTCGAGTGATCTGGCGATCGATACCATCACCGTCACCGCACCCAGAGAGGACGGATTCCATCTGGCACTCAAGGGCGCCTTACGGCGGGGGGATTTCGGTTCGGGGATTGATGTCATTCTGCCGGCCCTCTCGCTCGACACCTATGGAGTTCATGGTGGCAAAGAGAGGAGGCTCGGCAGGTTCACCATACCCACAATGCGGCTCAAGGGCAGCCGGGCGCCGCTGGCATTCAACGCGTCTTTCACCATCTCTGACATGGAGGCATGGAACGAGTTCACTCCTGCCCTCCTGGAGGCTGGTGGGAGGAGTCGGCCGACGTGGCGTGTGGCGAGCCCCAAGCCGTTTGCTCTGCGCATCCGGCTGATGGGCATTAAGACGGAGATATCCAATTTGCGATTCGACAAGACACTCGACCCCAATGGTGAGACAGTGAGCACATTTCCTACTACACGCGCATCCATGATGTCTCTCTTCGGCCATGCGCGTTTGCTCTGCAGCAATGGGGGCGTCTCTCGGGTCAGGCCTTCAGGACTTCAAAATCACCGACTTCGGCCTGGACGGCTCCCCCGACATCTCGGGCGGCGCCGCCCTCTCACTCACGGCACGATTCAAGTCACCATCCAAGCTCGGTGTCGACCCACTTGGCGACCTCGATCTTACCCTCGTCTACGCCAACACCACAGTGGCATCACTGCGGGCACGGCAGCCGTCGCTGCGGCCAGGACAGAACGAGTGGCATATGGACGGCGAGCTGGCGACTGTTGTGGCTGGCGAGGGGTCGGCGGAGAGGGCGCGGGCGATCAGTGGGTTTGTGGCGGCTGCGATGGACGGCAAGGGCATGACGGTCAACGTGAGGGGCAACAAGACGACCGAGCCGATCTTTGCAAGTGAGTGAGTGAGGCAGGGACAGGAGGTGCTGCACGCAAGAGAGAGAGGGGCAGTGTGTAATGATGAAAATACGATCGGCTAAGTGAGTCTTGGCATCATCACATGCATGGTGCACAAGATGAGCACTATTCACGTCCGCTGAACAACACACCACCACATCCATCCATCCATCCATTCGTCCGTCCATCCATCCATCCATCCACACACGTGCACTTCCCTGCCCACACACACCACACCCACCCTCTCTCCTTCTCTGTCTGTGTGTTGTCCTGTCTGCCATCAGCTGCGGTCGAGGCACTGGACCTCTCCCCACCGATCGGCGCCCTCCCCGGCCTCGCAGACGGCGGTGTGTTCAAGTCGCTAACATTCAAAGGTCTGAGCATCGACCTCAGCCCGTTCGACCATGCATCGGAAGATGGCAGCCCGTCTCTGGCCATAAACAGCGTCGACAGCGGCCGCAAGCTGCAGGGGAAGACCAAGACCAACGTGGTGGGGCTGGGCGGGACGGCTGAGGTCATGTTCGACAGCCCACTGGGAGACAACTCCCCCATATACGTTGACAAGGTGAGCAGGGCAGGGGGAGGGAGGGATGGCAACGGGAGGAAAGCGTGTAGGGAGATATGTGGTGTGTGGTCTGTCGTGTTGGTGTCTGTGGATGTGTGTATGAAGGTGTCTCTGACAGCGTCGATCCATGACGGCATGGTGGCGGGCGAGCCGTCGGTCGGGACATTGAGTGCTCTTCTGAAACCAATCGCACAGCCCGCCGAACCACCAAGTGAGTGACCACCTTCAGTTCACCAATCGGTGCATACAAACAATGCGTACGGCTTATGTCTCCTGTCTGTCTGTCTGCAGACATGTCTGTGTACGAGTGGCTTGCCGGGACTGGCCCTTACGTCGGCCCAACACCCCCACCCACCGTGACCGTCAGGGAGCCGCTCAGCCCCCCTTCGCCTCCCCTAAAGCACCACCGATCGCACCAACCATCGCCCAAACCCACCACACACCCACACCCACGCCCCACATACACCAGCGACCCGTTTGCCGGCCGGCACCTCGCTGCTGCAGCAGCGGCTCCTGTGCCCCTGCTGTTCGACATCCAAGGCAATATGACTCTGGCGGACGGCGGCAAGCCCTTCAGTACATTCACGAGTGCCTTCCTGACGGAGCCTGACGTGTACATGCTCATCAAGGGGGGCAGCGCACAGGTGCGGCTGCGGACGGCGCTGGGGCCACTGGTCCTCCCCAGCCTCACCATCGAGACGAGCAGGGAGACCGCACAGCCTCTCAAGGGATTTGGCGGCAGGGAGGACAGCAAGGGCGGCGAGGGGGCAGAGAGTGGCTTGGCGGTGGAATTGACCGGATTTGAGTTCTTGTCCACCGGCAAGAGGGACGCCCTCGACCTGGAGGCCAGCGCCACTCTCACCAATCCCTCCAACACCTCCGTGTCGCTCGGTGACCTCATACTGGAGATGACCCTGCCGGACGCCAGCCTGGCGACATCATCAAGGCGGAGGCGCATGCAGAGAACCGCACCGGTCCTCGGCTATCTAGCGGCATACGGTGTCGAGATCACGCCTGGCGACACCACTCTCAGTCTGAAGGGACGTCTGCGGCCCGACGACATGGACCTTCCCATTGTGTCTGAGCGCCTGTCGGCCTACCTGCGAGGCCACCCACTCCCTGTGCGCGTGGCCATTGCTCCCCCACCAAGCGGCGCCGTCTGGACTTTCGCCGACGAGCTGTTCGCGCGGCCAGGATGGTTCTATGAGGCCCTGTCATCCTTCGAGACAATCACGGCCCTCCCCCCACTCAGTGAGCTGATGGCCAAGCCCGGAGAGACGCCGAGCGGAATCTCCTCAGATCTAGTGCAGAAGGTGACGTACGAGAGCCTGACGGTGACCATCAGCCAGACTCCCGACAGGCTGCCGCTCAAGGCCCTACTCGACATCGAGACCCGCAACCCTCTCGGGGGCGGCAACACCATTGTGGAGACCGTCAGCCTGGCCGCCACCATCAGCTCATCTGAGGGCAGGCCCCTCACGCGCCTGAACACCGCCCCCCAGAAGGCCGTCATGACCGAGAGCAGCACCGGTGACAACCTGGCTTTCCGTCTGCCGTACACCGGTGACATGATTCTCTACGGCAACGGCGAGGCGGTCGCTTCATTCGCCACCGACACCCTGTTCGGCAAGGGGGCGGACTCGGATGCATCTTCCGTCGGTTTGATGGTGAATGGGACGGTGTCTGCCGTGGTGGACACGCCCATGGGCCGCCTCACCCTGTCGGATCTGCCGGTGGAGCAGGTGACCACTCTGGATGAGGGGGGCAGCCTCTTCGACAGCCTGGGGGTGAAGCTGGTGCTCTTCCAAGTCACGAAGCTCGCCATCAACCCCTCCTCGCCACACACAGGCTCGGGGGCCTATTCGACACGCGATCTCACCATGGAGGTGCTCGTTGAGCTTTCCGTGGCCAATCCCTCGCCGTTCGGCGTCGTCTTCGACAAGCTGGACCTACCCCTGCACGTGTACATGAAGTCGCTGGGGGTAGGCGGCGACCTCACACTGATCGCCCCCACCCTGGCGCCTTCACCTGACCTCTCCCGGCTGCGGCTTGTCGGGCGGGTCAAGGCCGACGCGGCCGTGCAGGAGCCGACAGTGAAGGGTGAGATGGCCCGCCTGGCCAACGGCCTGTTCTCGGGTGGGGTGTTCCCCGTCAAGGTAGCCGGCCGCGACGACAACAAGGGCGCAGGTGGGAAACTGCCTCCGTGGTTAAGATCAGTGGTCGATGACCTGGCGCTGGACTTCAACCTCGACGGGTAAGCTAAGCGACCAAATGACAACCAAACAGAGGCAACAAACATCACATGACGATCGTGTCTATGTTTGTTTCTCGCCTGTCATTGATTGCAGTGGTCTCGGCGGCTCCTTGATCGACACAGTCGGTGTGCTCAATCTGTCCGTGCAGCCGGTCGACGACGACACCCTTGTGCTGGCGGGTATCCTTGACGTCACGGCCAACAGCCCCTTCGGCTCCGACGTGCCCCTCACCGTTCGCAAGGTGTCCATCGACTCGACCCTCCACTTCCGGCAGGGCGATGACGCATCCCTCACTCTCGGCCGCATGAACCTCCCCAGCCGAGCCCCGCTGGTCCAGGAGCTGACGCGCGTCAACGGCAGCGACAAGCTGATACTCCAGCTTCAGCTCAACGACACTGTCCGCATCCAGAAGCAGTCGGCCGTGTCGTCCATCACGCCCTTCGCCGCCTTCATCGGCGCACTGGCCAAGGACGGATACGTGCCGCTCGACATCCGCGGCAAGGCGGGCATGGACGTGGTCGTGAGCGCCACAGTCACCGAGGGCAGGCAGAAGAAGCTCTCCGACATCCCGCTGACTCTTGACGCGATCCCGCTGGACTTCACCCTCACCATGGGCGAGAAGGATGGCGAGGGGATATCGGTGGACCTCGACTCGTTCGTCTTCGAGGGGCCGTCCGAAGAGGGCGGGCTGGACATCTCGGCCACTGCAGGCATCGTCAATCCGTCAGACGCATCGCTTTTCCTCGGTGATCTCTCATTCGAACTCTACCTACCGGCGTACGATGACACCAACACCACCGGCGACGGCCCAACAAGACGCATGCTCCAGGCAGCAGCCGCGTCCTCATCTGTATTGCTCGGCACAGTGGAGGCCAAGTCGGTGTTCCTGCGGCCGGGCAAGACGCCCATCGAGCTCACCGGCAGGCTCAACCCGGCAGCCGCGGCCCTGGTGGTTGTCTCACGCCGCTTCAGCGAGTACGTGCGCGGCGGCGACCTGCCCGTGGTGGTCAAGACGTTGCCCAAATTGAGAGAGGGGGGCGGGTGGTTCAATCCTTTCACACCCTCCGAAGAGTCGTCGAGAGAGGCGCCACCTATATGGCTGAAGGAGGCACTGGAAACGATTGCGATTGACACAAAGCTGCCCCCACTGAGCGAGCTTGGAGGCGGTGAGGGTGGTGGTGACCTGGTCTCTGACATCTCGGTGGGGCGTTTCGAGATTGACCTCGGTGGAGTGGCGGAGACGCAGCGTGCGATCGGTGTGGTGGGGGAGGTCGGGACGGTCATCAACAACCCGCTGGGGGAGGACACGCCCCTGACCGTCGAGGCCATCGAATTGGCTGTCGACCTGCTGGGAGACAACGGACAGGCGTTCGGGGTCATGAAGACGCAGCCCACCCAGATACCTGCAAGCAAGCAGAAGGTCAGATGCAAGCGCCGCGCCCTGACACTCTCGCTCAGCTCATGTATGTATGAATGGATTTGTTACTGTCTGTCTGTCTGCCTGTTGCATACATGGCATGTGTCACTCACAGGTGCTCGGCAATGGCCAGATCCGTCTGGACTTCCCACTGGTGGCCACCCTGTCCCTCACAAGCGACGGGTCACCCTTTGTCGCATTCACGCGAGATCTCCTGGAGCGCAAAGGGGCCGCTGCCCCTCTCACCATTCGAGGCCGGACACGAGTCAACGTGCAGACGCCGATGGGCCTGCTCGACCTCGACGGCCTGCCCATCACATCCAAGCTCAACCTGACAAGCGGCGACCAGCGGGAGGAGGATGCCCTGCAGGTCTCCGTCGATGACTTCAAGCTCACGGGCGACTTCGACAACCTCACTGCTCCGGCAATCGCCCAGAGCCTCACGGACGTTGGCAGGAGCACGTCGCCCGATGGCTGGGTGGCCATGGAGATCGCCACCACCCTGACGTCCAGATACCTCATCACCATCGACTTCGGCAACCTGGCCCTGTCCGCCGCCCTGAGATACGGCAACCAGGATATCGGCGTGGTGGAGACGGACGGGCCTTTCATGCTCAAGGCGGGTGACAGCCAGCTGCGGCTGAGAGGCTACCTCTGGCGCACAGTGAGGAACAAGCGGCAACTCAGCGACCTGTTGCAGGCGGCCATGGGGGGTGCAGAGGGTGGCGGGGATGCCAGAATACAGCTGGAGGGAGTAAGGCTGGCGTATCCCCTGGGGTCTAAGCAGGAGGGTGGGAAGGGGCTTCCCGGCTGGGTGCCCAAGGTGGCGCAGGTCGTCAAGTTCGACACAACCATACCAAGGTCAGTCAGTCAGCATGAATGAGCGAGCACACAGGCAGGCACGCACACGCCCTTCGTGTGTGGTCAGCTTCGGCTCCCCAGCAGACTTTCTGAAGCCACTCGACGTCTCGTCTGTCGCCCTCGCCCCCGTCGTGAATCGACCGACAGACGTGGACGTCCACCTGGGCACAAATCTCACCTTCGGCGGGCCTCTGATGCCCTCCCTCACTATGACCTTCACAGACGTCGTATTGGGGGGAGACCTTTCCGCGGGGCCCGGCCAACTCGGCGCTTTATCGCTCAAGTCCAGCAAGATGGCGACTGGGACAGGGGGAGGTGGCGTGCTGCTCAACCTCGGGGGCCGGATGAAGCTGCCTGAGCAGGGGGACGCCCTGACGGCCTTCATTGAGGACTTCCTCAACAGCACAGACCGGCAGCATGACCTTGCATTGGCGGGCACATTCAGTGGCCGCGTGGACCTCGGCACACTGGGCGTTCCCATCGACCTGACAGACGTCGCCCTCAACCAGACCCTGCCGCTCGAGAGCTCTCTGGATACCTTCGGCGTCGAGGTTGCGGGTGTTGAGTTCACGGGGGAGGATCGGAATGGCGGCCTTGCGATGGACATCTTCATCAACATCACCAACCCCTCGCCCGCCCAAGTCACCCTCGGCGACCTGCGGCTCAACGTCTTCCTGCTACCAGTCGAGGGCGAGCCTGTCGACGCGCCAATGGTGCCCATCGGCCACGTGGACGTGAGGCAGTATGTGCTCAAGCGGAACGAGCACGAAAGCAAGTGCACGGGCATCCTGATGCCGGCCGCCGAAGACATGGATGCGGTGTCTGCGCGTATAAGCAGGTTCCTGCAGGGGAAGACCCTCTCTGTGCGGACGGTGCTCGATGAGACCTACAAAACATCCAACACCCCGCCTCCATGGCTGCAAAACGTCATCCATGGCCTTGACCTGAAGTCTGAGCTACCCTCCCTGGCCAGCGTGACGGCCGGGGCGGACTCGAAGCTGGTCGACTCCCTGGTGATCAATGACTTCTATCTGCGGCTGGACGAGGTGGAGGACGGGGCGGAGGAGCCTGCCATTCCACTGAAGGGCGTGCTGGAGGTGGTGGTCAACAACCCTCTGGGGTCGGCTACCAAGATGAGCATAGAGTCCCTGGGGATGTCTCTGTCTCTTCTGGACGGGAAGGCGGAGGACGCACCTGTCCTGGGGAGGCTTGAAATCCCGCCAGTCGAGATCAAGGACTCCCGATTCGTCAACGGGGTAAGAACGAAACCACAAACACTACGACGAAGCTACCAACCAACCAACCAACCAACCAACCGGTGTCTTGACTGACATGTTTGCTCTGGTCTCTCTAACATCAGGATGACGACTACAGCCAGATTGCGTTGACCATCCCGCTGTCCACTCCGCTAATGCTCGATGACGTGGACAACACAGCCGCCTTCGCCAAGCGGCTGCTCAGCGCTGTTGAGAGCGGTGCAGCGTCCAACACGACTGATGCGCTTCGGGTGATTGGGGGCGCTGACGCGGTCGTGTCGACCCCAATGGGACGGCTGTCGCTCACCGACCTGCAAGTCGATGAGGAGCTGCCGCTGACGGGCCCGGCAAGGGAGGAGGAAGAGACCGCTGTGCCCCTGTTCGAGGTGCAGAATTTTACCGTCGAGGAGTTCCTGTTCCTTGAGGACTCGGGCTCATCGCCGATCACCCCGGACTTCCCGCTCGAGTCGCAAGAAGCCGACACCCCCTCGCCCCCTCTCTCACCTGGCGGCGACCCCCTCACGCCCTCTGACCCCTCCACGGACACCTCCACGGACACCTCCACTCCCTCCGAGCCTTCCCTTCCTTTTTTCCCGCCGCCCCCGCCCCCCCAGCCGGAGCCACCAGGGCTGCCGAATGGAGACCAATTCTTCGTCGACGGCTTATTTGGCCGCCGTGACCGGGCTACCTTTTTTGGGCCGCCGCGAGCGCTGCAGCGGCGTGGCCAGATCGCCAACGGCATGAGGGTTTCGTTGGGCCTGGCTGTACGAAATCCCGCGCCGATTGGGCTGGCATTGGGCGATCTTAAGTGGAGCGTGAGAAGGGATGACGTCACGATTGGCGAGCTGAGGACGATGGACGTCATTCTGGCACCTGGGTCGGATGAGTCGGCTGTGAAGGTGAGAGGCACGCTGCAGGCGCCTCCGGGTGTGGACTCTGAGGCCTTTTTCACTGAGCTGGTGGGCGAGATGTTTGGTGACGACCAAGCGGCACTACAGCTGACACCGAGACCGATGAGGGAAGGGGCACCCGACTGGCTGACAAGAATTGTCAACGGCGTCTCAGTGTCCGTGCCTGTCAACGGGTAAGTGCATGCCTAAGAGTTGTGTATCCATCCATGCATGTGTGTGTGTACTTGCCCTCTCTCTCTCTGTGTCTACCCTTTGCAGCATCCTGAGCAGTGACTCCCTGGTCGCCTCACTTGACGTCTCCTCCCTGAGCCTCATCCCTCTGGGTGGCCAGGAGGTGCAGCTCAAGGGCTCCCTCACCATCACAGCCAACAACCCCCTCGGGGCCAACGTCGACATCGGCGTGTCGGAGCTGGGACTCAGCGGCACTCTCTACGGCCCCTCCTCCAAGCCTATATGCGTTCTGCGCGTCCCGTCGCAGACTGCAGTGGTCTTGACTGGCGACAATCTCGACGTCGAGCCCAACCAGATTGTGGTGGGCTATGACTTCGAGGGCACACTGACCATGGAGGAGGACGGCGAGGCCTTTGCCGATCTGGTCGAGTCGATGCTATCTAAGGGCCCATCCTCGGCAGCCCGGTCGCTGGCGATGCAGCTTATGGGCACGTCGGCAGTCACCGTCATCAGCCCCCTCGGCACGCTCCCTCTCGACAAGGTGCGGATCGACAATGCCATGCCCCTGCTGAAGGAAGGCAGCGAGGCCATCGACCTCTCCAACGCCTCGCTCGGCGACATCAAGTTCGGCTCGCCGCCCCGCGGCCAAGAGGGCGTCACCTTCACCACCAATCTGGAGGTCGACCTCCCTGCTTCCTTCCCGCTCAGCCTCGACTTTGGCAGTGCTACCTTCGACCTCACCTTCACGCCTCCGGTCGACAACGCCACTCGTGCTGTGCTCGGTGACATCACACTGACGCCCCTGGCCCTCAAGAGGGGCACCAACAAGATCCCCGTGGAGGGCTCGCTCGTGCCGCCCACCACCGACAGCGACCGTGCCGGTCTCAACTCATTCGTGTCGCGGTACGTTGCGGGCAAGCCGGCAGCGTTGAAGGTGGTGGGCAAGTCCATCTATCTAGAGGACACCTTACCATCGCGAGCGAGCCCCAAATGGCTGCAGAAGGTGGCGGCGGCGCTTGTGGTGGAGATGGATGTGCCGGGGGGCAGCAAGGCGGCCTTCGGTGACATTTCTGTGAAGGACCTCGGCATCACCGCCCGTCGCGGGAGCGACGATGGGGTCAACAATGCCATCCGCTTTGAGGCTGTCGTCTCGGCTGAGCTGATCAACCCCCTCGGCCCCGACTCGCCCGTCACCGTTGACCGAGCTGCTGTGGCCATGAAGCTCATGAGAGGGGACGCCATACTCGGATCTCTGGATAGCGGCCTGCTGGAGGCGGGCTCTGGCTCGTCGCGCGGCAGCAAGCAGATGGTGACGCTGCCCTTCAAGAAGACCGAGCTCGTCTTCCCTGACAGGGGCAGAGCCTTCGGCGCTCTGGCCGCTGACCTACTGAAGAGCGACACGGAGGGCGAAAGCCCCTCCCTCACCATCGACGGCACCATTGCGGCATATGTCTCGTCGGATCTCGGCCCTCTGCATCTGACCGAGCTGCCCCTGTCCACAAACGTCACTCTCTCCGGCCTTGACATTGCTGTCGAGTCCGACGGAGGGCTGCGTGAGTGGGGGCTGACCGACGCCAGTGATGGCTTTCAGCTCGACGCAACCGTGGCATTCGATGTGGGAGGGTCGGCATCTTCGTCGACGGGTGCATCGATGTCGCTCATCGACCTGGGCGCGGTCATGCTCGACGCCTACATGGGCGGGAAGCGCCTCCTCCGCCTCACCGCACCCAGCCTGCGGCTCGTCGACGGCAGCAACACCCTCAAGATCCTGGGCCAGATGACCCCCAAGTACACCGACATTCCCACTGCGGCCAGCCTCATGTCGTCGGTCGTGTCGGGCGATAGCGTGAAGCTCACCGTCAGGGGGGCGGAGGGGGACGACTCAAATTCCCCTGAATGGGTGAAGGCGGCTGTGTCTGCGCTGGAGCTGGAGGTGCCGGTGAAGATCACCGCTGAGAGGGGCGGCGGTGGGCGTGAGGAGGGTGAGAGCGCTTCGCCTTTCCTGAGGGATGTCGAGGTCGGCGGCATCGTGCTGGATTTCGTGAGGGGAAAAGACCCCTTCCTGGAGGGTAGCGTGGTGGTCGAATACGCGCTGCCCAAGGGAGTCAACATCTCCTTCGACGTGAATCAGCTGTCCCTTGCCACCAGCATGTCCCGCGCACCTATCTCGGAGGTGGGTGCCGGTAAGCCCACATCACTCCCCACACAGGTGGGCCGTCTCAGCGTCACCACGGCCGACGTCTCAATCCCCGGCGACTCCAAGTTCCGGGCGGTCTTCGACAACGGCGTCATTAAGGTGAAGGACGGCGAGCGGGCCGCGTTTGAGGACTTCCTGTCTGCTGTCTTATATGACTCCGGGGCCACTCGGCTGTACCTGAGTGGTGAGGCATCACTGGTGCTCGTGACCAGGCTGGGCCAGCTCTCGCTGGATGGCGTCAAACTCGACCTCTCCCAAGACCTCAAACGTATGCAAATACAGCAGGAGATGGCGGGCGACTGCTTACCTTACTGTGCCTGGTTGCTTTCTCTGTCTCTTTGTAGACTTGGGTGGCATCGACAGCGACTCCGTCAGTCTGGGCACTCTGCAAGTCTCAGAAGGCCGCGCGGACGGTCTCATCATGAGCACAGAAATTGGCCTCAAGAACGCCGCCTCCTTCGGTGCCCGTCTGGGCGACGTCAAGCTCGACCTCTACGTGGCCGAGAAGGACCTCCCAGAGCGGCCTCGCCTGAGGCCCCCTCCTCGCAACGGCGGCGGCCTCCTGGCCCCACCCCCTCGGCCCATGCCTATCCCTATCGAGCAGCAAGCGCCGCCACTGCCTGAGGACGGCGACCTGATGCTCTATGTGGGCCAGGTGACCGTCCGCAACCTGACGCTGCTGCCGGGGAAAGAGTCCAAGATGCCGATCGACGTCCTGGTGTTCCCCACACGTGAGGGCGACAGCGCCCAGGGGCCCCGCCGGCTTATATCGCAGTATGTGTCGCGAAAGGGCAGCGCCACGCTGCTCAAGGGCAGGCAGAACAGCACGAGGGTGCCGCTGGTCAACAAGGCGCTGAGCCGGTGGGAGTCGGGAGTGGCGATATCAGGGGCCAAGGAGAGCTTCATGCAGGGGGCGGAGCTGGACCTCGCTTCGCTGCCGCTCTTCGGTCGTGGGCTGGAGGTGACTGCCCGTTTGATCATCAAGAATCCCTTCCCTGTGGACGTCAAGCTGCTCTACGTCGACTCGACCCTTTTCAAAGACGGCGTGTGAGTACCCACCACCACCGCACACAAAGAGATGGATGACACACACACGTGTTTGTGTGTCCCTCCCTCGCTTTGTGTCTGTCTCGTCTCCCAGCAAGATAGGCCAGACGACGATAGACTGGCGGAATGATCCGATGGTGATTCCCGGGGAGTCGACCACCAAGACGGATGCCTACAAGCTCAATGTGGGGGCCGTCACACCACAGGCACTCACCACATTCTGGCAATCGCTCCAGGGATACTCGACCGTTTCGGTGCGTACGTACGTGCCTGCATCACCAGCATAGCATACATGGATGGGATGTGTCTGTCACCCCACCCCCTTCGGTTGTGTGCAGGCGGAGGGCATTGTTGAGGTTGTTATCGGCGAGTACGGGACGCTCATCGATTACAACGAGGCCACGATACCGACGACATTCTAGCCATGCAGGCAAACCGGATACGTGTCGGTCGGTCGGCTGGTGCGCCATCGCGTTTTTCGGTTCGTCCGCCATGCGTTTCTTGCGCAGTGTGGCATACCATCCATGCACCGGTCGGTCATGTAGAGTTAGACATAGCAGCACTCAGTAAGTACGTGGGGGTGATAGGAGAGGCGAGGCGATGCTCTGCACACAAGTACGTTGGTTTGTTGGTCCTTTTTTTGCCGTCTTTTGATTGACTGATTGATGACCGATTTTATGCATGCGGCTCGCTCGTTCCTGGCTAATTGACAGTGCTCCTGGCACGCACTGTGTGGGTGGTGGGTGCGATGAGTGGGTGCGATGGGTGGGTGTGGCGGGTGGACATCGACCTATATTTGTGAAGCCACCAAGTGACGCGACACACACTAACTTCTTCTCCTTCTATGTAGATACTCAATGTAATGTGGACCTCCCTCCTGTGATGTATGGTATGATGTAATGTCTCATGCATCAGCCACATCAACGACCGATCGCAGCCACCGTCAGGTATAGATGTCCATAACTGCGGATTGGGGTGGATCGTAGGCAGGAGTGAATAAAACGACCAACACAGGCAGACAGACAGACACACAGGAGGCAGACAGACAGACACACAGGCAGGCAGACAGACAGGCGGACTGATGGTTGAAGGCAATTAAAGGGGCTGCCCGGGCCGACTCCCTTGCAATTGAGAGCAGGTCAGGCAGGCACTCAGATGCACGATACGATGTACATGTGTGTGTGTGCATATGCATATGCATGTGTGGTCACACACATCGTTATTTATGTGGGCCGGCCAAAGTGTCTACCTGCCTGCCTTACCCTACCCCACCTGCCTTCTCTGTGTGTGCCCATGTGCATATACATGTGATTTGATACGATAGATACGTGTGACTTACTTATATATTGCTATGTAGGGTAGGTAAGTGGAGTGGATGGATGCTGCATACAGTAAGTACTTACACCTGCAATCGATCGATCGCAGCCACTCAGTCACTTTGTTGTAAGTAAGGAACCCACTGACCGACCGAACAGCACCGCACCATTAATTGAACAAAGGACGTCTTGCACACCTGCGGGATGCATCTGCGTCCGTCGGCGACTGACTGAGGTCACCAGCAATGTGACGTGGTCAGCGAGAAGACACTGATATACATGAAACAGCGATGCTGCTCGCCCAGCAGCCTCTCAGCTTCCTCCGTCCCGCGCGCCTTCTGAACGATGTACGGAGAGACACACCACGACATGAGTGGTGTGTGCAGGCTCGTACGTGTGCTCCCGACCAATCCATGGCCCTCTGCTTCTCTTCCTCGGCTGCCAACTCAATGGCGGCTGATGGACAGCAGAGACGAAACAAGAGACATTACGCGAGACACCACATTTTCCTGCCAGCCATGCACAACGTGCTCACCAACTCGGTGTCAGCTGCCGAGACGCATCAGAGCTGAGAGAAGAAAGAGCCGTCTCAAGTGCGGTGGCCAGTTAGTTGAGTTGGTTGGTCAGGTGCGGTGCGGTGCATTCATTCATTGCGTTTACTTACGTGCATAGACCATCATTCATTCATTCGCCAGCAACGTAACGTCCGTCATATACACAACACACGACAGCCATATATACACACATGTACGTACATACATACGCAATGCGTATGTATGCAGCATCCATCCTCCCATGTACATACATACAACGATATATGCCCGCC